AATCCCCGTGAGAGAACATAATATAGAGAGTATACAGAAAGTTTGTAGTCTGTAGCCACTCATGAGCCTCGGGAAGACATCATTTAATCAATTTAAAATCAAACTTGGAAGATCAATACAAAATGAGTACAGATTTGCACCCTGAAATGTAGATAAGTTCTCTTACCTACCTTTAGGTTGGGCAGTAGAAACAATCTAGTTGTTGGTTTGGCTCCTGGAGAAAATGTGTCATGATGATGTTGTTAGAACAAGCTTTGCTTCTATGCTCACTTTCAGACACTGTGGCTCACTTTGCTGACACTGAGCTGGAGTACACACTGAAAACAACCAAGAAGTGAGCGTCTTTTTAGAGGATGTAGAGTGTGGTGAAATACAGTAAAGAGCTGTTGTCTGTGATGCAAGTGTCTGTGAAGCAAATATAGTGTATTTATCTTTCAACATAAGAAATTATAAGTGAAATGAGAAATAACTACCCATCTAGGAAAGTGATTAATGGGTCTTGCTCTACCTGCATGCCTGTGATGAGTCCGGTACTGCCAGGGTGTCCTAAAAAGGACAAGACTTGTCCTTTTTAATGTCTCTATCGGTGACCCGGATGAGGTCATGGAACAGCTCTTCAGGTTTGCAAATGGCACCTAAGATTGTGTTATTGAAGATGTTCTTAAGTCGTGTGCTCTGTTTGCTCATGCTAGTATATTTAATAATGACTCTATTCCAGGTCTATCGGACCCTAACCTGTAACCTTGCAAGTCTCAATTTCAGCCATCAAAAGATACTTAATGACAGACTAAGAATTTACTTAGTAATACGCATTGTTACAGTTATCCAGGCTTTGGAGGTACTACAAAGGGCTGGTTTAGTTCAGTTTAAGCAGTCACTGATAAAAGGTGATCTTGCTCCAATAGATCTTCTGTAAGGTTCTGCTCTGGCACTGTATGCTGTGCCAGATAGTAGTAGTGAAAGAACTACTGGGTCAGTATGGTTGCCTTAACAAAAGATAAAAAATCAAAAGGAATAAGTAGGAGATCCTTGTACTGTTCAGGATGGGCAGTCTTCTTTGCCCTCCTCTAACAAAACATTTTTCACTTAGCCTTTACTTGTTTCATGTTTCTGTATTTTCACTACATCTCTTAAGTTATACACAAAGAGAACCTATAGGTAGGTTTAGATCTGTCGTAGCTTCTTCCCCATTGTGACTGAGAGTTAAAGTACTGTAGATTTCCCAAATACTCTCTTTGCACAAGTAAAAAGTATTTTTAGGTGATTGAAATTACAGACCACTTTGAATTTAAAATACTGGTACCAAGTACTTTTCTTGTTAAACAGATAAATTTTGATATATATTAAAGGAATATTTCATGTTTAAATATGTATCTTCAGAATTATTTTATCTGGAGGGGGGAAGAGGATTGCCATTTTCATAATTTTAACCCCTCTGTGAGGCAATCCTTTATCTTTCAGTTTATGTGTTTTTGTAATTTTGTACATACTGGATGTGTTGCAGAGGTTACAACATACCATTTTGGCCATGAAAAAATATCTTTTGATCTTGTATTGATATGGAAATAATTTTTTTTTTTTTTATATATAATGACTGTTATTAACACAGGTTGCCATCATCTTTGTAAACGTTTCAGTTATTAAAACTTTTCCTGCCATCTTTTCAGGATTTATTTGGTGTGAGCATGGTTGTTCCTTTAATGAACCTTCACATCAAATCTCTAGGAGCCAGTCATACAGTTGCTGGAATAATAGGTGAGTTGTGGTACTTGACTGATTCATCAAGGAATAATATCATGTTAACTGGATTATGGTTTACCACAAATTGGATATTGTAACATAATTCTTACTTGCTAATAGCATAAGTAATGCCAAATTCCAAGTAAAACAGTAAGGGTAGCCATACTGTGTTAGACCCAAAGACCTGTCCAGATTTGCATACTGACAGTAGCCAAAAGCAGGTGCTTGGAAAAGAGCATTCCTGGAAAGAACAGGGAATTCCTGCAGTAATACGTATGAAGATGCCTTTCCAGCATCCAAGAATTCACAGCTCAGCAACTTTGGGAGCTGGAGGTGTTGCTTTTAGTTTTATTGTTATTTACAGATTTTGCAAACAATACTTCTGCAGCTGGTTCTCCTGAACTTTCCAAAGCCTGTGATTGCCCCCAGTTTGATTCAATTCCTTGCAGCTATTTTTTGGCAAAATATTTATCGTCTTTAAGGGGTGTTTACAAGTAAATTCTGAAAGTTTGGAACTTTATCTTAAGAATGAAGTAGTAAGATGAAGTCCCATGGTTCTGAAGTTCTTATTTATATCTTATGGTACAGTTTATGGTTTGTAATGATACAAGTATGATATTCTTTATAGCTATGTGTGATTGATATGAGCTCTGTTTTTCAGGTTTTTATTACCTTGCTTTTTTATTTTGGATGAAATTTAGCACTGTTCATGAAATAATTCTGGTCCTGCTCTGCATAGTCAGAGTATTATTTTAAGCAGCAATTTGTCAAAAATATATTTTCATTTCACCAGTCTGCTTTGATTTTTGACTTAAAAAAAAAAAGGGTTTAGAGGTGTGTTCTTACAAATGGAAGAGGCTGGAAGATGTTTCTCTCTGCCTCTCTTCGCTGCTTCTCTTCTGTTACTAACTGCTGCTAAACTCAGCCTCCAAAGCAAGATGTGGATGAGAAGCTCAACATGAGCTGTCAATGTGTACTGGCAGCCCAGAAAGCCATCCTCATCCTGGGCTGCATCAAAAGAAGTGTGACCAGCAGGTTGAAGGAGGTGATTCTGCCCCTCTACTCTGCTCTCATGATACCCCACCTGGAGTACCCTGTGCAGCTTTGGAGTCCTCAGCACATGAAGGATATTGACCTGTTGGAGCAAGTCCAGAAGAGGGCCACGAAGATGATCACGGGGCTGGAGCACCTCTCCTACGAAGGCAGGCTGAGAGAGTTGGGGTTGTTCAGCCTGGAGAAGAGAAGGCTCCGGAGAGAGCTTATAGCATTCTGCCAGTACCTAAAAGGGGCCTATAGCAAAGATGGAGAGGGACTCTTTATAAGGGAGTGTAGCAATAGGATGAGGGGTAATGGTTTTAAACTGAAAGAGGGGAGATTTAGATTAGATATTAGGAAGAAATTCTTTACTGTGGGGCTGGTGAGACACTGGAACCAGTTGCCCAATATGAGCTCTGTTTTTCAGGTTTTTATTACCTTGCTTTTTTATTTTGGATGAAATTTAGCACTGTTCATGAAATAATTCTGGTCCTGCTCTGCATAGTCAGAGTATTATTTTAAGCAGCAATTTGTCAAAAATATATTTTCATTTCACCAGTCTGCTTTGATTTTTGACTTAAAAAAAAAAAAAGGGTTTAGAGGTGTGTTCTTACAAATGGAAGAGGCTGGAAGATGTTTCTCTCTGCCTCTCTTCGCTGCTTCTCTTCTGTTACTAACTGCTGCTAAACTCAGCCTCCAAAGCAAGATGTGGATGAGAAGCTCAACATGAGCTGTCAATGTGTACTGGCAGCCCAGAAAGCCATCCTCATCCTGGGCTGCATCAAAAGAAGTGTGACCAGCAGGTTGAAGGAGGTGATTCTGCCCCTCTACTCTGCTCTCATGATACCCCACCTGGAGTACCCTGTGCAGCTTTGGAGTCCTCAGCACATGAAGGATATTGACCTGTTGGAGCAAGTCCAGAAGAGGGCCACGAAGATGATCACGGGGCTGGAGCACCTCTCCTACGAAGGCAGGCTGAGAGAGTTGGGGTTGTTCAGCCTGGAGAAGAGAAGGCTCCGGAGAGAGCTTATAGCATTCTGCCAGTACCTAAAAGGGGCCTATAGCAAAGATGGAGAGGGACTCTTTATAAGGGAGTGTAGCAATAGGATGAGGGGTAATGGTTTTAAACTGAAAGAGGGGAGATTTAGATTAGATATTAGGAAGAAATTCTTTACTGTGGGGCTGGTGAGACACTGGAACCAGTTGCCCAAAGAAGCTGTGGATGCCCCCTCCCTGGAGGTGTTCAAGGCCAGACTGGATGGGGTTTGAGCAACCTCTAGTGGGAAGTGTCCCTCCCCATGGCGGGGAAGTTAGATCTAAGATAATCTTTAAGGTCCCTTCCAACCCAAACCATTCTGAGAGTAGGGTTTGTGGTTTCTTCAGGGCTTCTGTGTTACCTTGTAATAGTTTGAAGTGCAAAGTGGAAAGTATTTATTTCCTCCCAGTAATGAAATTCTCTTCTGATTCTGAGAAAGCAATTATAAATGCCAAGACCCATTTTGTTCGAAAAACCATACAAAGCATCCTTCTTCATTACACAGTTGTACAAATTTTCAGCAGAAAATACTTCCTTGGTTATGTGATAAACTCCATCCTTTGTCTGTCCTACTCCTTCTTCCCATTCTTTTAGTAAATTATTCCCAGTGTTTCTCTCATGTTTTGTCATTTAAAAATTTGTGCAGTTTTTGGTTTGTTTTTTTAAAATTCAGTTAAAAATTAAACATTGGTATTTTTCTTGTTTGTCATAGGGTCTCTCTATGGTATAATGCAGCTGGTTTCCAGCCCATTTGTGGTGAGTTCTAACACTGTATTCCCAAGTATGTTGGTTCCAAAGGATGAGGATAATAATAGGGCTTCTTGAAATGTTTAAAATGTTCAAAGTGTTCATATAAACATTTTTGCTTGGTTGATCCGGTTTTCAGTTTGTGTGGAAAATGTTTGTTTCATTTATAGGGAAATGTTAAATTTTTCAGAAGTGAACAGAATATAGTCTTTAGACAACAACTAGAATCCAGATTTGGGCTCAGTCATACATTAATGAGCACGTCTCAGTTGCAGAGGGTTCTCTTCAGTGTTGGTGCTAGTAAAGCAGTTTTCTTCAGTGCAGTAGCCTGCCTAAAAAGCAGTCTCACAAGTCAGCTCTCCATAAGCCTCTTATCTAGAGTTTGTTTTCCCTGCTCAATGAGTAGTGCTCTGTAGCTTGCCATATGCCATAATTCATGCATTATGCCTTTGAGCTTTGTTTGGTTTTGTTTTCTGTTAGCTTTTGATTTTTTACATTCTTATCTAAGCAAGAGTGCAAAGACTAAACATCAGGGCTGAACCTCTTGCATATATGCTTTACCTATCAATACCTTAGATCCCTATATTTAGCCAGGAGCACCTTTAATATTACCCTGATACCTCCTAGCTTTCAAGAGAGCAGATTTTGAGCATCTCATGAAAAAACTGTTTCAGGGTTTGTTATGCAAGCCACCTGGAATAACTTGTTTTTGTCATCTTGTGACATTTTCTCTGAATGGCAAGATTATTGCCTGCTTTCTTAAAAAAACTTCCTGTTTGGAATCAAGCCGATTTATAAGCATGCTACATGCATATTTACTGTTTGCCCTTCTCGTAAATACTTCCTACTTGTCTGCACTCTGATGACAAACTCCTCACAGCTAAGATCATTACTTTTAGGATACTCGACAAGTGTCTAGTACATAGCGACCACCGTTGCAAAGAAATATTTGTGATTGGCTGTGATAACATTTTCAGAGGGCCCTTACTACTAATAGTTCATGGTGTTTATTGGAGGATTGTATTTTTAAAAGGGAGACATTATTTAAAAAAAAAAAAAAAAAGCAGTATGCATGTCATTCAATTGAATGATAGTTTCAGCAGGTGCACTGCCAGCAGGGCAGAACTCTCCAAAATGCTCAAAATCTGGAAGTAATGAGTATTGTTGTGTAATAAGCTGATTAAGTTTTCATTGGCAGTCCCTTCGATCTCTTTTCTTAATTTAATTTAGAAGTAGTGATTGTTCACTGTACATAGTTAAATGTTGTAAAAAGCTAATCTTAATTTCCTGCTTTATGAAAGGGCTGCTGGAGTGATATAGTAGGAAGAAGGTATTCCCTGCTTGCTTGTATTCTTCTCAGTGCCCTGGGTTACTTCCTTCTTGGAATGTCCACCACTGTGTTCCTGTTTGCCATTTCTAGAGTCCCTGTAGGTGAGTAAATGCTTGGCATTTTGCAGTTTAAATTCCATATAGTCTCAGACTGAGAATTACTGCTACTGATATCGTGGTATGTGGATGGCTACACAGCAGCATCATGCAGCAGCACCAACTAAAATCCTAGTAGTGAAAAAAAAATATATCTGCAAATCAAACCTTCTTATGACTTTTTTTTCTGCAAAAAAATTGAAATGAATACCTAAAAACTATCACAACTTTTATGCCACTACTTTTGTGTTACTACAAAATTCAGTGGAAATTTTAGGTCACTGCTTCAACAGAATATTTATGTTGTGCAAAAGCATGTACATTTGCAGCACTGAAGCTAAGTCTGTGCCAGGGTTCGTATCAGAGTTTTTACACTCTGAACTGAGCTGAACACCTTTTGCATGTATTCTGATACAATAAGCACTGCTATTGCTGCGAACGCATCTACTAAAGGGCACTTTCATCACCCATAGTCTTGATTTAGGAACTGTTTATATTGTTTCTTAAATTAAAGACAACTTGCTAATGAATTATTTGGTTGGTATTAGATTACTTAGTAGAGGTAATATTTTTTTAATGCTAACAGCATTGTGACTGTGACAGCATTGCCCTGGTCAGAGAGAAGGAGCATAAAAGATTGCATTATTAGCGTACCTGCAGTATGCTTATGTTTCTGTGCTCCTCTTCTGCCACCCACCAGTCTCCCATATGAATTTGGTATGTTACAATCCTGGAAATCTCCATACTCAGCAAAGGTGGGGCAGAGCTGTGTTCACAGACAGACAAGCCATTCCTACTCCACCATTACCCACCCACAAGTTCCTGTTTTAGCAGCTATTTTATTCCTAGTGTGCTCCAGCACTCAGCTAAGCTACTGCTTCTTTCAGCAGGGCTGCAGGAGCACTCCTTTGATGCGTGAATAATTTTGATTCCCAAGTTCAAATCCTTGAACAGCCAGGACGATGGGCATGGCCCGATGTGCTGCATGACTCTAGCAGTGAAGAATTCGTGGTTTATGGAATCTTAAAAATAGATTTTGAACATTGATCGATCAGATAGCTTCTGTCATTTAAGATCTTTTGGACTGAGTGATACATGTTCATTGTCTTGTTTGTGTTATGTTGCAGGTATTTTCAAACATACGCTCTCCATCTCTAAGGCCCTGCTTTCTGACTTGGTTTCTGAGAGAGACCGCCCTTTAGTAATGGGACGCTTCAATGCAGCCTCTAGTGTGGGCTTCATTCTGGGGCCTGTTGTTGGTGGCTACCTTACAGAGTTAGAAGATGGCTTTTATCAAACGTCTTTCATCTGTGCCTCTATCTTCCTTCTGAATGCTGGTAAGTTGTACATCGTATTTTGCATTTTGGGACTCTTCATTCCCCACTTCTGTGTTTTTATGCCATTTGTAACACCTTGAATTCATGGTGTGTTTATCACCTATGGCATACATGTTGTCTCCACCGAAACTACCCTTCCATTTTGGAAGGGTAGGAATTTTGAAACAGTTAACTCCCAGATGCTTCTCCTTTGTATTGTATATATCACTTTTATATTCAGACACAGGAATGGGAGTTTTTTACTGGGCCCAAAGATGAAGACTAGAATTCAGAATTTTGGCCCTAGCCATTAGATTTGTTTATATGTTGTGAGTGGGTCATCTCAGTGTATTCCTTCCTTGCTTTTACCACATTTAAAATTGAACTGATACTGTGAATAACAGTAGACTTAATCTTTGCAATTTTTTAAAGGGAAATCATTGTTGAAGTCCTCTTTAAAATTTTGATCTTTACACTAAGTAAAATGTTACAAGTAGAGTAATGTCTTCCACGTGAAGTTAATGCAATTGAATTAAATAAACTAATTTCTTGATCTATATAGGTCTTGTCTGGATGTTACCCTGGAGTGAAGAAAACAGTGCCAATAGGGAACATCGACAAGGCAACAAAGGAACAGACAGTTTCACAGCAAAAGCAAATTGTGACCTGCACTCAAAAGCAGCAACTAATGGAGCTGTGGCAAGCAATAGTCTTTTCCAGTCTCCATGGGCCCAAGTGGGAACAGTGCTGACGAGGATTAAAGGCATTGCCTGCTCTGATCTGTGGGATATATTTCTGGTGCGGTTGCTGATGTCTGTTGCTATCCTGCTGTACTACAGCAATTTTAGTCTGGCCTTGGATGAGAGATTTGGGGTGAAACCCTTGTTCGCTGGGTACCTAATGAGCTATAGCAGTGCGCTCGGAGTCCTGGCAGGTTGTCTTCTCGGACCGATAACGAGACTGTATCAGCACAACACTTACAGGATTTTGTTGCACTCCAGCACTTTTACCTGCACGTTGATTCTCCTGTACGCGTCAGCGCCGAGCATATGGATGGTCATTTTGTCTTCCACGTTCTTAGCCTTTTCAACAACTATAGGTCGTACTTGTATCATTGATCTTGAGTTGACCATCGGTGGGAACGAGGCCAGCGGTACGCTCCTAGGTGTCGGACAGTCAGTGACATCAGTGGGACGTATACTTGCCCCACTCCTTGCTGGAATTGCTCAGGAGTTCAGTCCTTGTGGCCCTCCAAGTCTAGGGGTTGGACTAGCTTTAGTAGCTATTCTGATAATGAATGCCAACAAACAAAAATATTGTAGCCATGGAAACGTTAAGTCAAAAACTCAATAGCTGCAAATTTGGATTGTATCGGTGTATCTTACAGGAGAGGCAAAGTGAATCAACCTGGGGTGATGCTTACACCTGCCAGACTTGTACAGCAGTCACAGGATCTTTTAAGAGGGCATGTTATGTTCACTTGGAGGCAAGTATGTGTAAATATTCCTGCTGCAGGGATGTAAACTCTAGAAAAATGTTATTCTAACTGGTACCACTAGAACACTTGCGAGAAGGACAGCTGTTGCTGTACTGTACTGGCTGGGATGTTTTTATGGATTTTTAACCTTTTTGGAGGGGGAAAAAAAAAAGAACAACATGAAATACACAAATTCTGGCTGTAGGTCACATTTGAAACACTGTTTAGATTGATAGATTGTTAAAAGACAGAAACTGATTCTTATTATTTAATCAAAAGTGAATTTTTATTATTTAATCAGAAGGAGAATTTGCAATATAGCTCGTTAGCCTTAATTTCTTATGCTGCGGTCTGCTGCCATTTGTCTGCTGTGACAGTAGCTTAATTAACAGGGTGTTTGCTCATGTGATTTTGTTAAGCATACTTTGTCTACTTGCTGCACAGCATGATTAGGCACCTTGGGGTAGCCATCCACCCCCTGCTGATTCCTGGCCTTTCCCAGGTAGCAGAATTGAGTATATGCTAATTTCATGTATTAGAAGACCTAAAATGGGACAATTTTAGAATAATACGGGGTCATTCAGACTGAAACTGTGACTGAATGTAAGCTTTATTGAAACTTGAACTGGTGGTTTCTGCTTAGTAATAACTTCTGCTGAGCAAATTTGTTATAAGTTATTTGTTAATATTTCCTGTGCAATTTTTCTACCTTCATTTTAAGAATAAATTTGTTTCTTAATTCTTTTGAATGACTGTTAAAGGTGTGCTGGAGCAACTAGCAGTGGTTCATGGATCTGGATTAATGCATTTTCTCTCATCTCTAGAGGCATAAGTGACATTTCAATGATGAGAAAAACTCTTTATTTGTTGGTATTCTGGTCTTCACTGATCTGCACTGCTTAACTAATGAGAGGTTACTTACTCTCAGAGCTAGACTGAGAGTTGTAGCACTCTCCTGTGCTATTCACTGTTCAAGCTCATATTACTTGCGAGTCACCACTGCTTGCATTTCATTTGAAACATACAAAAAATGTATTTTGCACTCATAATTTTCCATATGCTTTTCCTGGTATTACTTGATGAAAGTACAAAGTCAACAATGCATAATTGTTGGTGATTATTTTTTTTTTATATTAAAAACAATGTAGTTATCTCCTTGAACGCATCCATGCAAATAGTGTTGCTGATTCAGGAGAGTCATATATGTTGTTTTGCATTTTTCATTTTTGTTTACCTTTCCCAGTGCCTGATATCATTTAAATCCGTCTTGAAACCTCAGTCATTCCAGTGGCAGCACAATGGGAGTATGTATAGAATAGTGAGGTGGTTAAATTTTATATATTGACATGAGTGTGTGTCTTATTACTGCTATGATTTCAGTACATATCCTCAGAGGTACTTATTGTAATAATTTGTGCTTAATTTCTCCCTAGGAACTTGAGGCATTTTCAGGCATCTTATTTCCTCTTGTCTTGCTTGGTAGTTGCCCCAAAACAGTCTTCCCCTAAATTTCCTATTTTCTTTCTTTCCATGTTTTAGATTTGTTTCTTTAACCGAAAAACACCCTTGTGTAACTTTTGGCAACTATAGCAAGGCATGAAGGAAAATGGTAGGAAAAATCCTCAAAAATTAATATATATGAAAGATTGAGTCATTTTCCCAAAACTTGTTGGTTATATGAGGTAAAGTAACATTTACCCTTCTAAGTTGCTGCACTGATTAAAGCTGAATTCTGTAAACACCGTAAAATTCTGTTTATACTAACATACACAGCTGCCTGAATATTGCTTATAAAAACTTCAAAACTTCAGTGGTTTTGTTTACATATAAGTGAAAAATGTGCTTTTCACTATCAACAAATATTTTTTATTTTGAAAGATAGTCCTCCATATAAGCTAAATAAAAATTAAATTAAATAATCGAATTGAGAAATCTGTGGACAGCTGTGGTCTCAGGGAGACATTGCAACTGAAGTTACGGAAGAAACCTTCTTTACTTGTAGGCCAGAATGATTTCTGAAGTGCTGCAGAGACATCTCTTCTTTGTAAAGCCTCATTTAAAGGGAAGTTGCACTATTTTAAAAAAAAAAAAAGTAATAGAAATAACATGAAGTGACATTCCATGTCTATCATTTTGTCACTGTGCTTTTCCCCCCTCTTCCTCTGCTAAAACTACAGCACAAAATAGAGGTGTTCAAGTCAATATGAAGTGCGGATGTTTTTGTTGTGGTTTTTTGTTTGTTTGTTTCTTGAAGCTGTTCCTTAAACGTTCATTCAAATCTGCCTACTTTTCACACAAAAGGCACAGAACCTAAGGATTCAGCCACAAAGTGGTTTGACAGTGAATGAAAAAAGAAGTAATCAAAGAAAATAGAGAACTTCCCAGTTGTGAGATAAAGTGCTTAAAGCTACTGTGCCCAGTGCCTGGAGACCATGTTTGCATCCCTTGTGTTGCCTCTTAGTTGCCAGAACCATGCAAGTTCAGAAGGTGATGGGTAAATGACATCCCTGGAAATGAGGAGATGGGACTTCCCCTTTTAAGTTGAGGGAGGAGCAGTTACAGCTATTTTTGGCTACAATCTTGAATCCTCCCTCAAGTCCGAATTAGCAGTTTCTTGAGTCCATTTGTGGTATGTGAATACTGTAACGAAACAGAGATCTGAATATGGACTAAAGAAAAAACATTTATACCTGCAAATCGCTGCAAATCAAAATTTTTCTCTTGCTTGCTGTTGCTTCAGCTTTGGGTTGGTTTTCCTGGGCTTGTACGCAGGGTTGGGGCTTTTTGCTTTTTATGTTTTGAAAATTTCACTTTTTTAACAGTAACTACTTTTCTGACCTTTATGATCAGCTGACATCAAGAGGCTGCGTATGCAATGTAGTAATTTATTTCTGTAAAGCAGCTGGTGGCATATGATATGTATTGATTTTGTTGCTTTTAAATGATGAAGCAAATGTAAAATTTATTCCATGTTGGTGTATGCTGCATACATTTGAAGAGAACCTTTATAAACATACCTGCAGTTCTGCAGATTTCAGTTTCTTGTTCTGTTTTCTTTTCTCTGAATTTACGCACCTCAGCAGCACCACAGAGGTCAGTACCATTCTCATTTTCTGAGAAGAGGTTGATTATTGAGCAGATAACGCAGCAAAAACCCCAAAACAAGTGTTGCTTAGTAACTGCTTTTCTTCTTACTTCAAGTACTCTGTAATGCCATCTCTGATGGGCATGTTCAGGTGCTGCCAGCCCCCATTTGGTTATGGGTGCTGTGGAACACCCCTGGGTAAGGGATGCTTTATAGCTTGCCACTTTGGAATTTGAAAACCCAAGAATCAACTGTGCTGTTATTGCTGTAATTTGGAAGACTTATTCACGAAAAGCTGATCATGAGTCTTGTAAGGGAGTACACAGAAGCCTGAACTTTGAGAATCAAATGATTTTTTCATAGAAATGAAAGAGTTTGTAGTGCTTGTTTCAAAGGGAAGTTCTAGTTATATTAAATCTTAAATTCACATCAAGAACTATTTTTGAGATGTGCTACACCATAGGAACTGCTTTTTCATTCTGTCAAATTTGTAATCAAAACATGGTTAGAGTTGGAAGGGACCTTAAAGATTATCTTAGTTCCAGCCCCCCTGCCATGGGCAGGGACACCTCCCACTAGAGCAGGTTGCGCAAAGCCTCATGCAGCCTGGCCTTGAACACCTCCAGGGATGGGGCATCCACAACTTCTTTGGACAACCTGTTCCAGTGTCTCACCAGCCTCACAGTAAAGAATTTCTTACTGATATCTAATTTAAATCTCCCCTCTTTCAGTTTAAAACCATTATCACTAATCCTATTGCTACACTCCCTGATAAAGAGTCCCTGTCTTTGCTGCAGGCCCCTGTAGGCCGCTATAAGGTCTCCCCAGTCTTCTCCAGGCTGAACAACCCCAATTCTCTCAGCCTGCCTTCATAGGAAGGGTGCTCCAGCCCTCTCATCATTTTCATGGCCCTCCAATGGACTTGCTCCAACAGTTCCCTGTCCTTATGCTGGGGGCTCCAGAGGTGGACACAGTACTCCAGGCAGGGTCTCATGAGAGCAGAGTGGCAGAATCACCTCCCTCGACCTGCTGGCCATACTTCTTTTGATGCAGCCTAGGATGCAGTTGGCTTTCTGGGCTGCCAGCACACATTGCCAGCTCATGTTGAGCTCACCAACCAACACTCCCAAGTCCTTCTCCTCAGGGCTGCTCTCCAGCCGTTTTACATCCAGCCTGTATTCATGCTTGATCAGGGCTGCTCTCCAGCCATTTTCCATCCAGCCTGTATTCGTGCTTGACTGCACTTGGCCTTGTTGGACTTCACGAGGTTTGCATGGGCCCACCTCTCAACCCTGTCCAGGTCTCTCTGCATAGCATCTCTTCCCTCCAGCATGTTGATCGCTCCGCACAGCTTGGCATTGGCAAACTTCCTGAGGGTGCACTCAATCCCACTGTGCATGTCACTAACAGATGTGAAACTTGCATGGGCCCATCTCTCAACCCTGTCCAGGTCTCTCTGCATAGCATCTCTTCCCTCCAGCATGTTGATCACTCCACACAGCTTGGTGTCATTGGCAAACTTCCTGAGGGTGCACTCAATCCCACTGTGCAAGTCACTAACAAAGATATGAAATGGCACCAGTCCCAGTACTGACCCCTGAGGAATGCCACTTGTCACTGCTTGCCACTTGGACATTGAGCCATTGACCACAACCCTTTGACTGCAGCCATCCAGCCAGTTCCTTGTACACCAAGTGCTCCATCTGTCAAACATGTGTCTTTCCAATTTAGAGACAATAAATAGGAGGTCTTAGATACGAAAAATAAATTAAGTAAACTGGGGTATTTGAAATGTTTTTTCCTTTTCTGGCAAAAAAAATCACCTTTTGAAACAAAACCTGTGGCAATTAGGGTGCTCTTGTAACTCACAAATTTAAACCTGAGCACATTTCAGATCATGAACCTGTAAGACTCACTAGAGCTGCCAGTGCAACTATTGCTTTCCCTTCTGCAATCTTAGTCCCTCATATTCTGTCAAATCTCACAGGATAAAAAGGCTTCCAAAGCATACCAGTCTATACTGGAATCACATCAGTGTTTGCCAACCTGGGAGAGGAATGATGCTAATCCAGTTTGCCGTCTTGTTGTCCTATCAGAAGACCTGTCTATCACTTGCAAAAAGATTCTTCTGATGAATAAATTCTCAAGTGGCTCAGCACAGTATCCAAGAGGGATGATTTTCAGCCCCAACTTTGATTAACTCCCAGATGCTAAGGTTCCTTCAACTGTTCAGAGGAGAATTAAGCTGCCATGCTTTTTTTCATTTATTTTTTAATGTTGTGGTTTAACCCCATTTAGCTGGTCACCAAATAAATGCGCCAAGAGGGAGATTAAACTCTTTGTTTTGCACGTTGTTCGCACAACTGACAGTGTCAAGCACAGCTGCAGGTTTATCTAGAAAGCACAAGTTACATCATGATCTGCTAAAATGAGAGAGAAAAAAGGGCCATTAGTTCTCCTATCTCTCCCAGATTTAAATACCACCTGAATCAGGTAGTCCATGACTTCGCTCTTTACAGTGTCCTAAAGCAGTTCCTCCTTCTTGTGCTTGGACTCGATACCCCCTCCATCCAGAAAACATTCTGGCCTGAGCCTCCCATTGATTGTTGGCCTGGCTGGGGCTGTGTATTGCAGGTGCTGTGTTTTAAGCAAATTCGCAAGCATATTTTCATAGGATGAGAGCTCTTGTATTACAAAAAGCGTTCCTCCAGCCAATATTTCGAAATCTTTTCTTCAGGAAATGGGGGATGTTGGAAGAACTGAAGACAATTTTGGAAATAGTGACCAGCTGAAGCATTTCTTGAAGTATCAGCCTTAAAACATTGCTGGTGTCTGGAATTGGTGGACCTGGCATCTCTTGGAAAATCCCAGGCAAGGTGCAGTATGTTTGCTCCCAGATATTCTTCATGACAGCATGCATGTTATTTTGGCCAAATTTTTAACTTTGTTTCTCCGTGTGATTTCTATGTGGCTTCAGTGGAGAAGGATATTCTTAAGTTTCTAAATTGTTATGCAGCATGGTTTTCTTTTGCTGAACGCCTGTGGTTTCAGTGGAGCTCATATTTTACTTTAGTAGCAAGTAGGGCAGCCCTTGAAATGTTGCCTCTTACAGCAAATTATTCTCATTTTCTCTTTCAAATATCTGCTTAAAACAGGTAACTGGATGCCTATCTACTCTCTAGCACTTGCTATGTCTACTTTCTTATTCTATTTACTTTCAATTTATAGGCCTCTCAGTAGCTGAAGCGGAAAAGAAATTCTCAGAAAACCCTAAATCAGCGTATCATAGATATTTTCCTACTGTCCCTAAATCTGGACAACTGGGCATTGTGCTTCCTCACCAAGGCAGTAAAATATCAATACTATAGAGTGTACTGGGGACTCCATTTGGAAACAAAAAATCTGCATGTGGATTTGGCGAGTTTCCCAGTCACTACTGCTGAAGATGTTGTTTCCTGAAAAAGTGAAAAACACGTCCCCGGTCAATACATGACTTTGCCCATCAGATGGTGCTCGAGGACAGATTTATTGGGCATTTCATTCTCCAGCAGACAAACTCTCTTTGATGCTACATAAAGGAAAAGTCTCCTCTGCAACGTAAAGTTAGACGGGCCCTTTAGAAAGATCAAAAAGTGCTATTGAACTTTTATTTTACCTTTGCAGGAAAATAAAGAGAAAAGATAGGAAGAGGCAAACGCCAGACCAAAACCAGAGCAAGAGTTGAATGAGAAGAGCCACCTGAGACACAGCCTGTGTCACCTGCTGCTGTCACTGTTATGGAACATAACAATGAGGATAGTTCTCAGAAGTGTTGAAGGTTTGACCCAGCAGTAGCAAAAAAGAGCCTGGAAAGGGTGGGAGGAGGTGGAGTGGGTAAGGGAGAGAGCACTTACATGGAGACAGAGTTACAGGAGTCTCATGATTCTGCTTCACAGTGTAACCATGCCGGAGATCTGCCTTGATGGTTGTCTTCCACGGATCTCAAAGTGCTTTGGGAAGGTAACAGCATGCTAGCATGTTTTGAAACACCAAGGGCTTAAGACCATATTTCATAAAAACAACCTCCCATTTGATGTGCTTGTGCCATGGGGCACCCACTTTAAGTACCAATGATCTGAGCATGCACTGTACTAATGGACAACCAGCAGAGCAGTCAGGTTTCTGAAACCCGCATTCATTATTTGAAATTGTGCCATAAAAAATTACAACCATTTGGAAAAAACAGGCAGCTTCCCCCATATACAAGCCAATTTCTTGGTCATTACCAGCACATGGAAGAGAAATCTCCACAGGGAGTAAACTAAATGTTGATATTCAACATTTCACATTTATTTATTTATTTATTGGTCAGATTTCAGATATAAAACACCTAATCTAAACAGTCTGATCCGCAAGGAGGATGTGATTTCAAAACTGAAATCCAAACTCAAGGCTGCTTTCTTATTCAAACATGATCCTGATAGTGCAGTAACAGAGTACTCGCTGACAGTTTTACTTATGAAACATATTTTCCTGTTGAAAGAAAAATTAAAATTTGTTTTTAAAGCTTGCTGGCTGTGTTTGAGCTTGAACCTAGTTTTATTTCCAAACAGGAGATGATCATTAAAGAATAGCTAAGTATTGCCTTTCACAAAAATCATTTGTTGAGAACAGCCATCAACTGTTGCCTGAGATTTCTAGGGTTCACATAGCCATCCCCCTGCAGCTTAGACTTTGCATTTGACAGGGAGCAGAAACTTCCATAGCTGGAGCAGAGGTAAAAGACTAAAAGACCTGTGACAACAAAAGAGTTTGGGGAAGCTTGACATTTCAAACACATAAATGAAATAAATATTTTGGAAAAGCTGTTAGAAGGAGGAAAGTATTAATTCCCATTTATAAAAATAATTTGTCAACCCCACCCGTGAACCTTTGAAAGAAATCTACCCTGTGATTTTAAAAGGAAATTCTGATTTTTAATAGTTCTTTCAAAACAAGCTTAAATAAAAAAAAATGAATCTTATTGCCCACAGATTTAGAAATGTGCTAACGAAAAAGAAAAGTTATGATTTCACAGTGTACATTCTTCAATGAAAGTTATCAATCTTGTAACAAGTAGACTGAAAATTATTTCTGCATTGTGCTGAAATGTGTATCTGTGCTAAAGCAAGCTCAAAACTTAAGGCAGATTAAGTGGGACAGAAAGTGCAAATTCCTGAGAGCTACAGTTAAGTATCATTTATTTTAATGTACCCTCCCTACCCATATGCACTCAAATGGCAGCCATTAACGCTGGGATGAAGAAGTCCATGTTTCTTGTGGGTGTTATTAAGGTGCACAGTGACTTCAACTTATTCCAGGACTCCGCTGTGCTCCTTTTCTGTACAAACAAATTAGACAGAACATTTCTGTTCCTTGGAGTGCATAGCTCAGACAAAGAAAAGATTATCTTTCCCCTTTTACAGATGAGGAAACAAAGTAAAACAAGTTGACCAGGGTCACAAGCATGACTGAACGAGCTTTCTTGAGTCTCAGTGGTCCCTGACTCAAACAGGAGACTGCTCGCTTTGTCTATGTGCAGCACTCTGCAACTATTCTACTGCTGTGTTTGCATTGCAACTGAGAAACTAAGGTGCAAAAAGCAATTTTGAATAAGAACATTATTTAGCCACTTGCAGTCTCTTTTTAGGGCTTCTGGTGTCCTGCTAAGTGCTCTCAACTCTTGTTGACATTACTGAAAGTCAAGGTGATTCAGATTGCCTTTGGCGATTTTCCGTACCTTTCAAAGGTTACATATTGCCAAATATTCAGAAAATAAAAATTCAAGCTATTCAGGTCTTGTCTCTGTTGCAACTCCTCTCCAGAAACTGTATTTGCAATTCTGCTCCTACAGCTTGTTCCTTCTCTTCCTCTTTTTCTGCATCACAGCTCTTCGAACAAACTGGGCTTCAGGAATATCTTTATTCTTCTTACAAAGTCTGTATGATAGGTGCATTGTGCAATTTTCAGTGTTACTCATATTAAAGCTCTAGTTAAAACAAGTATTTGATTATAAATAAAATCTGAAATTATACAGAATTCTTTTAAGAAACCATTTTTTAAGTCCTCACTGGACTTTCAACAATGATTTTCAATGGATAACTGGGTATTGAACCTGCATGACTTGGTTCCAAAAGAGATGATGTGATAAGGCACATTTCCATCCTATCTTAATAGTGGAAATAATGTAATTACAGCATTGCCATAAGTTATTTATAAAAGAGATATCTTTTTCATGTCTTCAGCTTTGCAATTGTTCCAGTATTCCTTTCACTTAGTTAATGGCATTGACTTCACTCAAATGGAAGTGGTTAAATCCACATTGAGGCTTGGTTGTTTGTTTTTTTTTCAAATGATCCCATAGTCTGATCAGATAGCTCAGAATCTTAATTCGATATGTCCATGGTTTATTACCAATAGTTCTCTTTTTGCTATGATCAGTACGGCTGGTTCTCAGGCTTATTTCTCTGCCTTTCCCCTTGTGATGCCTGCCTAACCAACCGTGGTGGTGGCACAGGTCTTGGCAACCCGTGGTCTGCAGTCAAATCTTCCCTGCTCAAAGTGCCAAATCTTGGTCTCGTCAGCAGTGGCTGCCTGAACCCGATGGATGGCTGAGGCAAGGTGCTCAGCTCCTGCTGCTCTCCTTGTCTGTCCTGGCTCCCGTCAACTTCGTTCTTCCACTCCACCCTAAACTCAGGTGGTGGCCTCTGCTGTCTCAGTCTCTGGTCTCTCAAGATTTTCCCTGCTCTGGGTCTTAGGTTGAGCACTGTGGTAGAAGCATCCAGCTCGGAGTCGCTGCTGTCACCCACTGTTAATTGAAAACAAAATTAAAATTTTAAGGTGCAGAATATTACTGTTACAGCACACTGAGCACTAGCAGGCACAGAAGAAAGTTTCCCTGTGTTTCACTGCTTTCTGATTAGATCAAGTAATAGACACTTAGCTCTGCCAGGACAGAGAATAGATTTGCACTACAAACATCCTGCCCCTCAAAACAGTGGTTTTTTGAAAGCCCCCAGTCAGCTGCTCCTTAATCACTGACTGGCCCCCTTGTTTGAGTTGACATTTCCCCAGTTCTGCCTCTGGATATGGAAAAATCTGACTATGGGGTCACTTACAATCAAGCAGGATACAGAAACGAGGTTTCTCACCCTCACATCCCATGAAATCTTATCTGACAGGCATTTCCAGAGCACAATATGTACAGGGGCTCTAGTAACCTGGCTTTGGAAAAGGAGCATCAGTACTCCACCGAACAAAGGATCTCCCAAGGTCAATATACAGATGGGAGCAAACACCCCAACATTAATACGCCTGAATGTAAGATATCAAAGAAAATCCACAGGGCAAATCTCACAGGTTTAAAGTGCTGCCGACTCCTTCACCCCCTCACAACAAGGCAGAAAATGGCCAAGGGAAAGTTGTCATATTCATTCAGGGAGTACTCTTAAACGTTTGCTCTAAGGTAAACCAAGCTGGAAACATTCTGGATGTATACATGTGCATATGTATATGCAGAATTATTTTAAATTAACTAACACCTTCATCAAAACTTGCACACTTCAGTCATTTGATAGTCATTTTAACAATGGATGCCTCAGATTTGTTCTTAGACTTAAGTCAGATATGATATTTTAAATATATCAAAGCAAATAATTGTGTATTGCGCAACTGTCATAAGAACAACTTCCATTAGTTGCCTACATGTTACTTCTTATAAAAAGGTGATGAAGGGGTCAACAAAATATATCAACACATAATTATCCATTCACCCAGATAATTATATATCAAGGAAGGTCTTCATCAGACTGTGTTTGCAGGCTTTTTTACCCCCCTAAATATGTCAAATAATATATTTTTTGACAATTGAATAATCTGGAGGCACATTTCCTCTTTAATTCTAGGTGACAGTAGGTGACCTCTGCAGACATAACTACAGAATAAAAGGAATCCTGCATTCAGGAGAGTAAAGATGTAATTACCAACAGACAAAAAATATGGTCAATTGCTAAATTAATTTGGAAGAGCGGGAAAATAATTGGGGTGGGAAGCAAGACATTTTAGTGATTGTGAAGAGATTTAATATTCCCAGCAAGTGATCTTGATGGTTGCTTGCCATGAAAGGGAATGCTCCTGAGCATGGTATAAGCACAGCAATGCCACCAGTAATAATTAAAAATAATTCATAGAATTGAGCAAAGTTTTCACATCAGAGGTTTTTCTCCCTCCAGCTTTTTTATTTTTCTATTAGAATTCAAGAACACCAACATGAAACATTTGTAAGTTTAGGCAGGAAAAAAACCAACAACATTTTGGCTGTAAACCACAGCATTTTGAGAAGTTCTACATGAGAACTATAAACCAGACCTCAAATCCTCATTCTCCTCTCTGGTTTGATTCTTAGAGCAGTGTCCTCTACCCTGACCCTAGTGAGAAAAGAAACCAAATAGGCTCATAATCCAAGAAGGAGATCTGGACATGATGGAATAAAGACAAGGAGAATGAGCCACCACGGCAGTGTTTCTGGTGCAGAAGTGTTTCAGGCTGCTGCTGCTTGCTCATGTGAGGAGATGTGCTGGGAGGACACTGCTACTACAGCATTTGAACTGAGAAAGCCCCACAAGACTCCGCTTGCTGGGGCATTTCTCTACACTCAAATACTTGCTTTAGGACCCATTGCTTTTAATGGTCTAAGACCTCTGCTAAATATCCAACACCTAGAAACATGCTAGGAGGGTATTAACACCAGAATGAAAGCATGTGAGCATAAAATATGTAATATTTATTTGAAAATTAACATGCTGACCTCCATGTCATCCCTGGAAAAACTTGCCTTCTACATAGGGAAAATGACTGCAGCACAATAAGAAAAAGCAGAAAATTTATCATTACCTCTGGAAGATGTTTTATTTCTCACTCGTAGCTTCTCTGGGAGTTTAGTGTTTTTAGGAAGTGAAAGGAATCTTTTTGTATTTGCAGCAGCCTATGCAAAGAAATATAAGAAATATTAAGTTACTGCAGACTGAAGTACCTGCACAACGTATGTTAAGATACATGACTAAGGTTTGAACGGGTTTATGTAGCTAAAGGGCTGGAAAGTAGTTTGGGATTAGCTAATACGTGATCTTTTACTACACACTCAAGTTAACACCAGTTGCTGTTTGAGGACTGTTCTAACTAAGGGAAAGACTGAGTAACCTCAAGGAGTTTAATCAAAACAAAGCTTAGTGGTATGCCCTCTGAGATCAAAGTTAATAAATGTATGCTCTCTAGCCTCACCCTTACCTGTACAGGTTTTCCTAAGGAAGGCAAATGCTGCAAGCACGGCATCACCTCACGCAGCTCAAGTTTGGATCTTTTTATTAGTCAGCTGCAGTTGTGACTGAAGCATGAGCACACGAACTAATCTGTATTCTGATCCTGCAAGCGCTTTATACATATAAATGACTTAATACAGTTGACTAGTCACACTGAAGTTGATGGGGAAGTTAGGCAGCAGCGTGATCATTTACCAATTCAGGGCATAAAATCCTTGTTTTCCCAGGATTAAGCTCTAAAGTCCCTGGGTGCAGAGCACACCACATGTTTCCTAGAACATAAGAGGCACTTTCCAGGAAAGGTTGTTTTTAAAAAAAAATTCAAAAATTTCTCAAAGGCATCCTTTCTTACATTTGTTACAAAGATTTTTTAAAACCTTTACAGTCTACCAGCTCTCCCCTGCTTGTACCATTCATTGCTGCACACTCAAAGGGAACCTGAAAGGAAAACTATTTTCCATGAGACATTTTTCCTCTTTGGATATTATCGTGCTGCTCAGGACCACTATGCTTCCTTCTGTGGTAGAATTATCCAAGGATAATTATTTTTAAAATTACAGCTTGTGCATTTTAGAAATCTGTCAGACACCCTGTTTCTCTCCCTGCCCCCAAAATGTCTCAATCCCGCTCAGTCTCTTCATTATTCCACCTAGTATGTCATTTTTTTGTATGACAAAGACAATATATGTAACTCCGGTTGAGAGGGCAAAAATCATCAGGAACAGACTTATTGTCACAATTAAAGCCACAGTAACCTCAGTAATGATCACAAATGAGAAATGGCACTTATTGGAGACATCATTCCAGCCTCAGTTGCTGAAGGACAACTGTATCAATGAAGGTAGCAGTCACTAAGTATTCCTGTAACATGAAATTATGTATTTACAGGATGGGTAGTTTCCTCAGTACCTAAAATGGGAAGATGATTTGGGGGATCAGCTTCCCTGCTGAATCAGTGCATTCTGTTCAAAAATGGTCTGAAGTTTACAATGGAGGTATTGCAAGATTGCCTCAGGGAGCCAAATGTCATCATGCCATGTCATTTCTTGTAGGCAGAGGAGGCTTTCCTATTCTGTGTCAAAACCTGAAGTCCTGACTACATTTTATGAGTACTAAAAAGCTCACAACATTTTTCAAATGACTCACCCTGACTGACTCCACCAAAAGTTCTCCTCTTTTACATATTTTGGAGCATACTGTAAGCAGTCTACCTGTCTCAAAGTAATTTTTGACCTTGATCATCCACACTTTATCAAAATACTGTTAAAGAATACTCTCCATCCCTTAGAAGTACACTGCGTACAGAGCCTGTTCAGCTTCTCTGAGATAAAATTATGGCAGCAGATCCCACTCCCATGTCATATTCTACAAGACTGAAGCTTAGCTGAAGGGGTCAAAACAAATTAAGGGGCCCATGTGAGCAATCCAAGACGTAAGTGTCACATTAGATGTGTGATTGTCTTCCAAATACAGGATTTTATATTTTTTTTGCATTTCAGAAGACTTTTCTGCAGGAGATTTAGCTACAAATAACTGTTTCCTGTAAAACAACTAAAGTGCCAGTACCGGTCTCTCTCTTGACAAGCTGTTTGTTTTCCTCAGGCTCTCCCTAAGGCTGTGCCGGCGACGGATCAGAATTTCTTTGGCCTGCTTTTCGTTTGCATCTGCAGCCAGGCTATGTCGGTTATATGACATTGTCTGAAATACAAAAGCAGTGGTTACATTCTGAAAAACTCTATGTCAAACGTGTTGAACTCTATGTGCAGTGCAAAACAGCCTTTTTGCTTTAATGTTCTAATAAGCATCATAAATCCTTGCGAACAAAATCATATTGAAAAACAAAAACAGTAATTATGCCAGCATTTTTTTAGTCATCTGCCTCACCGGCACCTGCTTCTTTATTTTTATTTTAACCTGCTGATATTTATAATGAAAGATAAATTGTAATAGCTGGCTTAATACAGTGTTTACCCCCACATTGTCCTAGCTCAGTCAATATGTCAACAGAGGACGCACATTTGAAAGCGGTAAGACGAGTCACCTACGGGGAAGTCATTTTTACCTCCAGCAAGCTGAAGCTTGCTCCACTTTTGAATGTTTTCCAAGGACTCAGACGTTCAAACTACTTAGCCACAGGGGGGAAAATGTGAAACGTCCTTTTGCTTTTATTTCACTGTTTTTCCAGCTCATCACCTCTGTTCTTAATACAAACAACTTCACAACTGGAGGCAAATGGGAAATCTAATCTCATATCATGAAGTGACCAAAATACTGATATAAGTGGGACAATCTTGGGTTGAATTTGCACCTATGATCCTTTTTAAGGATATTGTAAATATATTGTAGATAATAACAGAACAAAAACATTGTTCTTGACCCATAGCATAAGATTAAGTAAGCTATTTACATAAAAGAGCATGGGTATGTGGCTGTACATATGACAGGACATGGATTCATAGGCAAGAGAAGTAAATATCAGCATTAATAATTATGCCGTGGTACAGCAGACAGTCACTAGCCTGCAGGTACATTATGAAGGTAATCAGTATAGTCAAAGAGTAGTGGGCTATTTAAGTATGCAAAAATTCATCCTTACTCGATGTCGTATTTGGTAGAGATTCTTTGTTAATATTTCCCGCATGTTTTCCATTTCAGTGGGAGAAAGTGGCTTTATCTTTCCTTCATGATAATCACTGTGGCAGGATAAAAAAAAAGGAAAATATAGGAAAGAGAGAGAGAGGAAGAATGTTTTTAGTTTTATGATTGGGAATTACATTTCCTTTGTTAGAGTTGGAAACAACATTTCAAAACAACTAAGGAACGGGTGAAAACGTAACACGTAGGAATCAAATCTTGATTTCATTTGAGCCAGTGGCAAGGCTCAAAACTCATTCTCCAGAATGTGATAAAAATTACATCAAATTGTAAATTTGATTAAGGTGCTTTTCAAAATGCCCCTCAGGCTTCCCCTGTTGCTATTCACAGCAGAAGGGCAGGCACTGGTTCCAATCCAGCTCCGCTCTACATGGCAAATCAATGCTCCCGTGAGCAGCTGCCCCTGTAAAACTACACGCTCCGGATGAGCACAGCTCACGGAGGGCTTTGTGTGTGAGCTGTAGGCAAAACGCTCCTGTTTCATATCTGCTTACTGTTCAGGTGACATTTGGACACAAAGTGTCCTAAGTCAAAGTGATTATCTGCCTACAGACCGAGCTGTGAAATAAATTATGCCACACGGCCAAAACGCTTGGCTGTGCTGGCATCACCTGCCTACCTGAGAGACACCGACGATGGGACCTTGCTTATCATTCCACTCTCTGCCATCTCAATGGCATGTTTGATTTCCAGCTTCTTGTATAAAGAAACAATGCTGGATTTGGGCTGGTTCTCCCGGATTAGAAGTCTTCGCAGGTATTTGTTGTCAAACTTTTTAAACCTGTACGTGAGGCAAACCAACCCAACCAGTTAATTTTTATGGTGCATAGTTAAGGAAAGCCAATATACTGTAGTTAATGCAATTGTGAAGGAGTTAATTCTCTGGGAGTGTGTCTACTCATATTAACAACCTAAACTTCACCTAAAAAAGGGTCAAGTTCATCTTTGCTTCAGATAGTCTTAACCTGTGTTTTTGTTAATATGTTAATGAACAGTCTCCCTAGCAACAACTTTTATGTATTCTGTGTTATTAGACAATATTATTTTTAATTCCCTATTTTCATCGAGACAAAAAGAACATTAAATATTTACTGTAATAACAAATACAGGGTTTAAATTTGCACTGACTGCTTTTTCTTTGAAATTTTAGCCTGCTCTTGTAGAACTCTGGAAGGTGTCCCTTCCTCTAAAGCAACTGCAATTCTCTTGGATGCTTACTGAAAAAATATTGATTACAGCTGGGGTGATTTTTTTTGTCAGAAAATATTTTGCCCTTCGGCCATTCTGAAATTATTCTTTAATTTGGGTCTGCAGGTCATGAAGAGGTGGGACCCTCCTTTGCTCTGTAATCTGTTAATTAAAGATATCACAGAGACCGGAGGGGAACCAGGCTGAGTAAAGGAAAGTTGAACAGCATCTGTCATGCATCTGTCACAAAAGTGTCCTCGCTGTGTTGCCCTCAAGTCATTTGGAGAGGGCTCTTCTCAGCCCTTCCTGCTGGTGCTGTTCCTCTTTGCAGAAAACACTTAAATTCCTGTTGGAGCAGTGACTAAAAGGTGGGTGAGCAATGCCCATGCTTTCGGTCTAAAGGATTTGGTTGTAAAAGAATGTGCTTATAAGAAAAGGGAGTTAGATCCAAACCAGTGATGATGATGATTCAGCGCCTAAACTGAAAACGTGAATTATTCAGGTATTGCCAGTGGTAATCTCCTTAACTGACACTAAGTCTTAAATAATGCCATCAAGAACTGTGGAGCTGCCTGCCATTACTATCTCTCATGCACATCATGCCAGCTAGCGCCTCGATCTTCCTAGAGAAAGTCTCAAAGTTTTTGTATGTTTCCCATCAGATAGGGAACTAACCCCTCACTTAACATGGCAGAGACATGCAATTTGCAGGAGGAAAGCCGGATGGGGTAAAAGACTCATCAAACATACAGGAAATGCTCTGAAACAATCAAAAACAGGGAGAGGACGCACACCCTCTGAAGGTACCGTACTTTACCCTGGGATCAGAGGGCTGCCTTTCTTCCCAGCTGGAGATTTTGTTCTACTTGCTTGTGGTTTGGTAAAAAGACATTGTTTTGCTGCTTTCCCTTTGTAACCCACACATTCTAAAAACAACCACCCGCTTTCAAGATTAAAATGCTGAAAATGAAACCTGATGCCCAACAGTCTTCGTTTGTTGCTGCTGAGCCCATTTAGCCTCTCCTGTATAAAAAAAGTTTTAAATTACATTCTTACTTATCTCTCCAAAAGTTGTGACCCCAGTGTCCACACACATCTTCAATTCCTGTCTTCACGTGGTCAAAGAACTAAAGAAGAAATGTTGGCTCGTTACATAAACTCATAGACATCATTTGGCTGGCCCTTAGATATCATTAATTTCTAACTTACTTCAAAAAAGAAAAAGCTAGTCAGAATTCAGGACAATGCTTCAGTTTAAGAAAATGCAGTCTAATCAAAATCATAGCCAGATTCTGTTGGTTCCCCTGGAGTTCCCTTAGCTCACAGCCCCCAGAGGACAAAAGTTAGTTGCTAACTTCCTCAAGGTCAGTATTGTTCAGCTCCTGTTTGAATCTGTAGGTAAATTTTTTTCCCCATATTTTAATTTCTAATTTTCCTAATCACTTAGAGCTATGCCTGGGACTTCTTCAGGGACTTCCCCAGGGCTGACAGTGAACCAGGTATGACTTTGCAGAGGAGAAAGCCCAAGTGGGCAGCAGCTCCCCATGTCAGCATTGTCCCCTTGGGATGCACAGGACAGAGCAAGATATCCAGCACCAGGTCCTAACTCCTGTTTTAGGGGATTGTGGTCTAGACTCACCTCAAAGCGTCCAAAGCACCTAATTTAGAAACACACTCTTCCTCCAGTTTGTTATCAATTACAAAAGAGTGAATCAGCTCAGCTAAGGTCTCACTTGATCCCCAGAGGTAGCTCCTTCACTCTTAATTCAAGTACCATAGTAGGGGTCTCTCAAATTCAGGGGGAAATCATGGTAGATACGTCCAAAAGACATGCTCTAAAAGGACAGACATTTAGATGCCTAGATTGACTTCTTTGTTGAATGTGGTCCTCATTATTCCAAAGTTTTAGAATTTCAAATCACCTGCCACAGGTATGCAGCAAGGAGAAATACGTTCAAGAATATACCTGGCTAATAATTGGAGACATACACGCACCAAATACAAATCCATAAAGAGGCTGATGATGTGAGAATTAAGAAAGTTTAAGAGCGTGTTTAGGAGGAGTTTGCGTTTGTTTAATTAGACTAACTCAAATGCAATGTAATGTATTTAAATTGCCAAAGCTTTCCTAATGTAACCAAGTTATAAAATAACATGTATCTTATACGTGAGACAAACCACGGAAAGTTAATTTACGTCAAGAGACAAACAATAAGAAGTTTCCAATATAATGATAAGTAACAATAATTTTGATAATTGCCAAAGGTTAAATATAAGCTTTACAATTGTTGTGTTTATAGTAGCTATCAAAAAGAAGTCTAAAAGAGTGTATGTCTCTCTGTAATACTGTGTGCTGAATCCTTGTCTTACTGAAAGCCACTAGCAATTTCATCTGTATGAGGGTTTCATCTGTAACACCGAAGCTGCAGCATACCCTGTTATAAATTTCTTCACTGACAGCAGGCTGCTTTTTATTTGACCTTTTGACATCAAGAAACTCCACCAGTGGACGAATTGTTATTCCCTGTGAAGAAAAAAAAACAAAAAACAAAACAAACAAAAAACCACATAGTTCTCAGATAAAAAAACAAAAAACAAAACAAACAAAAAACCACATAGTTCTCAGATTTTTTTCCATAAACATGAAGAAAAAACACAGCCTTTTGCTCTTTTCCACCTCTGTCAGAGCATTGAAAAAGGCTGTGGGTACCTTTTTAGCTCTGGATACCCTTTCACCTTCCTAACCCCAAAATCCAGCCTGACACAATACTTATAATAGTGAATTCTCTCTTCTGATTCACAGGTGTTGCACTTAGCTATGAAGCCCTAGTCAGCACAGACTCCACTAATGCAGCAGAAGGAAGGGGCTCTCTGGAGCTAAGAGGTCTGAGAGAGGCAGCCTGTCAAACCCCACCAGGAATACAATTACCCCCTCCACAATATATTTAAACTTTTTTTCAGTTCTGTTATGTATTAGAAGAACTCTCACTTGTTTTCTGAATTAATAAACAGACCTGCTATCATTTCAAAGCAAACATAGAAAAGTCTTCTTTTAAGTGATTGCTTCCAAAACAGGTGCTCAAAGATGTGTCAACAGTAGCAATAAAATTGCTGTTCAGGACTGTGACACTAAGACTTTTTGTAAATATGTGTCCTTGCCTGACTATTCTCTGAGAAAGAACAAAAAGTTTTGGCTATCCCAGAATGACATAATGGTTTTGAACAATTATTTGTGGAGGAATTGACATAATTTGTTTATTTGCATAGGCGCACTGGCACAGGAGAGACAAATGAATCTCTCACGGTGTTGAAGCCAGTCCCTACTATCCCAGACAAGGTCACATATTTCTTTTTGTAAATGCTTTATCTTAAAAGTAGTTAGGTTTCTTTGCCCCATTGCTCATACTGGAACACTCATCCTGAACCTCATTGTTCTAGTAATTAGAAAGGTGCTTCTTGATTGCATCATGGCCACTCTGTACCACTTTGTTCTTGTGCCAACATTTGCCTTTTTAGTTTAAACAGTGCTCCTCCTTCTCTGGCGTTCACTCCCTCATATAAACAGTAATTATATTCCCTCTTCTCCTTCGTTTTGCTAAGGCACCCTGGTCTCCTTTCACACAACAGGCTTACCAGTCCCATGATCACTCCAGGACAGGCCACTATTATCTGATGGAAATACCCGTCACAGTATGTCTTAAGATCAGATTTGCCTTTCTTCTGTTCCCACTGCATTGGTGGCTTAAACTCTACTCCATTATGAACTAGTACACCCGTGTCTCTGTCCCTTTCTATTTTTTCCCAAATGAAAGATTCCCATTTCGTAAGAGAAATTCCCAGTAAAAAAGTCCTAGCAAGAATATGTTTGCACTTATCACTGTAAATTTCATTCCGTTTCCATCATTTTGGCCCTCAGACATTCTCTTTTTTCTACATGATACTCCATCTCCCTGTCACCTGTGCACTACAGACAACACCGAACTCCTCAGTAAACGCATAACTTTAAATATTCTAACAAAGGAATTAGTGCTGGGGCTGTACCCAGATTATCTTTTATCTGTACTCCAAGCCCACTAGGTCTTAAATGCTTAATACTACTTATATGTTAGCATAAGTACTTAATATCTGGCATACTTCTGCTACCTGTCTGCAGTCTGCATAGCAGTTTTTTTTTAAACTATGACCATGGTGAGTGCCTTCAAGTATGTTCCTTCCAGTAAGTTAGGACATTTGTTTTTCTACCCACTGCATATTTACAACCTGTCTGAGAAAGAAGTCCAGAAGAGGAAAGGCATTACCTGAATGAAAACGGTAAAGAATATCACCACGATAACAGCAGTGATGAACAATTTCTTCCTGGGAAACACAGCAGGAGGAAGCAGAAATACAAGTGAGAAGCAAATAGCTCCTCGGAGGCCTCCATAGGCAATAATAAATTGGTCCTTAAAAGTGAGAGGAATTGTCCGGAACACATTAATGATCTGAGTCAGAACAAAAACACCTGAAGGAAAAAAAACAGAAATACAGGGAGGAGGGGAAAAAAGAGAAATTAAATCACACAAAAATCCCCCACAATGCTAGTACTTGTTTTAAACACTTTTATTTGCTTCTTATCTATATATAATTGAAGAAATTAAATGTTATCTAGCAGCTTGAAAACATCATGGAAGAAAAATTTAAAATGCCTAAGAAGCATCATTTTAAACATATTTAGTGAGCTAACCACCTCAGGTCAGCTGGATTTAGGACCTGAAGCAGCTAATTGATCTCCAGAAGACAGCTATCTGCTAGACTCTGCACCTCTAGAACAGCAATAATTCTCTGTGTCAGTATACGCCAAACCTCCTCATTATTTTTAATGGGATTTGAGGTGGTTTCAAACACTGTGGCTTGTCACTGCCATCAGTGTGTGCTTTGAATTCTGCAAACTCCAATTCACTCACTTAATTTTACTTGCACAGACAGGAAGGATGCAGGACTGGGGATGGTGGGAGAAGATGCCAGTGCACGCAGGTGCACCAAAGGGAAGGGCACCAGGGATGTGGCAGACTGGAATAAAAGGTATAAAGGCAGGTGAAGGGGACAAGCTGGGGGGCAGCAGGAGTTGGGGGGCTGTCAAACTGCTTAGCTGCTTTTCAACATGAGGTATTGATTGTGGGGGGTTAGGTGCAGGAGGGACAATAATCTAGTTATGCACTTGATGGAGACGTGGGAGCTGGAAGTTGGGGTGCAGAGACAGAGCAGAGCATGAGCCACCTCTGTGCCCAGAGGGACCGAATCATTACATAGGAAACTCTAAGATTTACGAGCATCACCTGCATTCAAGTCTCAAGGTAAAAGAAAAAGATCGAGTACTGCAAATTCAGGTGGGGTCAAGTAGTTTCTTATAGGATTTTTTATCTTCACAATATATACTTGAACAACACTTCAACTACAGCATTTCCTGGTTTGATGCTATTTACTTCAATGACTGGGAAAATCCCGAAGATAGTATACATAAATAAAACAACTCCCACAGTCTGTTTTACAGTTGTACAACTGCTAATTCTCTTAAGCAAAATTTGTTTATTTGTAAATAGATATTTACTTAAATACATGTACTCTGATTACCAAGCAGACTGCCTCTGACTTTAGATGGGCAGGATTAGGACCAGACTGTTTTCTGGGTTGCATTATCGGGGAAGGTGGAAGCTGACTCTGAGATCTAGGACACCTCACAAGTCAGAAAACCATTCTACAACCTGATGGGACTCTGACTAAATTCTGGCATTATCTGCTTGAGGAGAGGTAAAAAGTTTCGCTTGCAAAGAACAGTGACAGGTAGTCTGAGACTTGCTTACCCAGCGCCCTCCAGATTAAACAGAAAAGGAGGGTGAAGCTAACAAAGGCCCAGTTCCACTCATGGTTCTTCCCAACTGTAGACACTCCCATGAAGATGAAGATTAAGGTCTCACTGACACTGCTCAGCATCTTCATGAAATACTTTATTGTCGTATAGGATTTTTGGGAAACATTTTCCTCCACGTATTTATTCATGGTCATGGCACAAGCTGTAATCCTGAAAGGCAAACATTATCCTGTATCTCACTGGCTAGATTTTTTTTTTAGCCTCTCTCATTTCTACATAGTATTATTCACTTTTCCATAGTCCTCTTTAAACACAAAGCATAACTTATTCCATAACCAGTCTCAAATTTATAGACTTAGTAAACCTGCAGTTTGGGGCAAGAGATTATTTTTTTTTCCCACATTGGGGAGTTTTTTGAGAAGACATTAGTATATGGAGAGTTGCGCTACATACTAAATCCATGTGATCTGTGGAGGGGTCACTCAGACCCTGTGTTTTGAAAAAGACACAGCTGAGGAGAGCCAGGAGAAGCCCTGGCAAACAGGGATTGCTGCTTCTATTGCTGCTGAGGGACATTGGACAGGATGGCAACTGAATAACCTGGGGCAGGACTTCACCACCTTCCCACCAGCAGTTGTCCCACCAAACTGGACCCCTCCTCAATGGTGGTGACAGTAGCCAGCTCCTCTTTGCAGGCAAAGTAAGCAGCAAGGCAACAGACAATTTGTCATCCTCCACAACTCCATTATTATTATTTTATTCTTCCACTTTCCCTTTTTTACATGGTGTCAGCATGGCCTGCTTGAAGGACAATGGCCAAGATCTAAAACGTAGTTTGAAACATCAAAACATACACATCCCCAAAGTAACTAGGCAGCATTACTCCAGAGGGACAAATCTAGGAGGGACACATGGACACTGGGAGAGGGCACAGTGTATTTTGTTGACCTCTGTCAAGCAGCACAACTCCTGCGGGCGCATCAGGGTGAATAAAACCCAGGACAGAGGGTCTGATATGGGACAGAGGCAGTCCGATGGGGGCAGGTAGTTGCTTACAAATACAGGTGGAGAGGGTTTGCTAGCAGAACCGTGCACCTAACGTGGCCTTCATCCTGCATTTTTGTCCACCTACACTTTGTGATAGAGGCAGATCTAAACAGCACAGAATAAAATGGCCAGTGCACAGTTACAGTGCACCAGCCCTAGGCAAACTCCAAGACTAAGAAGGAAAGCTTGAAAACTATCCCAGACCCCCATCTGCAGTTAGTACTGACATAACTGTCATCTCTCTCCTCACTGTCAGCTGATTTCACCATGGTCTTGAACAGAAAGATCCTCTGTGGCCCACGAGCAGCATGCTATCTGGGAAGCAGAGCTCATCATGGAAATGTGGCATCCACCAGAGGAGAAAAGATGCAGATTTCAGGAACATGCAAGCTCCCTCCCTGCAACACTCAGTGGTTTAGGTAATGTTTCTAGTTTGAGCATGTGGTTGGGACAACAGAGGTCCTGCATTTTTGCCTGTACAGACAGACTGACAATTCTCTTCACAGCTGCCCTCCTTGTTTTGATCTTACAGTGGCCCAGACTGGGGAATTATCACAGTTCCCACCATAGATCCCACAGACATATGTGCCTACACAACTCAGGTGAAAAATGGGAAGCAACCAGGACCCTGCATGTATTTTGTCCTGATGTGGAGTGATGACTTGGCCAGGACATACATCCAAGCCCAGAAGCTGTCAAACATTCCCAGAGTCTTCAGTTTACACATAGTTCTGGTGACCAACCTCAAAAATGTATGTGAAGAAGGGTCTCAAATCTACTTAACACTTTCACCCTCCACATCTCTCACACTCAGCGGCAAACCAGCTCTTCACAAGCCACAGGCTGCACTGACAGACCTACAAATATCTCAGGTTATGTCACGGGTCGTGACAGCCTTCCTGTGCCTGCAGAGCTTGTCTGTACAATTATAACAAGTCCGATGCATCCCGGCTACCTCCAGCCAATTGCACACACAGTGGAACTGACAAGTGCAGGGGCAGCAAACGAAATATAGCAAGAATGCAGTGGGCAAGCTGCAAAACACCCATTTCCAGACACACGGTTGTTTCAGAGTCTCAAAGCTTACTACCTGAAGCACTAGGGCTGTCAGGTCTGCATCGAAGACAGAACAAAACACTCAGTACTATTTCTTACCCTCTTGAAATAAATAGTTTTCATGATTATAATCTTTTAGGAAAGCTCTGCGGCTTGGGAAGTGAGGAAGCGTGCCCTGGACATGGTTTGTTTTTGGATCCTGAGGTAATGGAGGCACTGTAAATAGATGACTGATAAGAATCTGTCACCAGATTAATCAGGATCTTTGCAAGCTGTAACTTAAAACACCTACCATGCTCAACCACTAGAATTTAAAGGGACAACACTCTTTTTTTAATATATATATATAAAATATTAATTTCAGTCACATTTTGCATGCAATTAGAGTCATCTAATTGATGTGTTGGTTCACCAGTATAACAAATAGTGCTGTACATTATTTGTTACACTTCAGGTAAGTAATATTCCACATCTAATCACTTCTTACTTTATGAATCTGGCATCTCTTCAGAATGTTTATTTACATAGAAAAAAAGCTGTTCAAGTCTCTTTAATTTGAAAATGATATGACAATACAGTGTTACATTCATTATAAATTTTCTTGAAATATGCACTATTTTATGTACATTGATATATGTTCTTCCCAGACCAAATTTTTACTGTCACCACAATCTAAGCAAAAGCTTAGGTGTGTTTTATTTTACAGTTCTTATTCACCCACATTAATTCTGGCTTCCACTTCTGTGACCTGAAGTAGTTGCCTTGGTCAAGAAGGGGAGGGAAAAAACAGTTAATTGCAATTAACCTGCAACCTTCTGTGCTTCTGAAGAATAAAAGTCCTCCTGCACAAACAGTACAGTTTCTGTCATGACTGCAATAAACGAGGCCACTGGGTTCAATCCTCAAGTTTCCTTGACCTACTAAATTTACAGTAGTTTCAATGTTTGTTCCTTTCAGCCTGCTAACACACTGTTGCAAAAAAAAAGAAACACATATTAATAGTTCTGCTGCTTCACAGCCCCTATGAGAAATAAGTAAGAAAATGCAGCGTTATAATCAGAAATAGAACCAAGCAAATAAAGTTGAGATTCACACGTGTGTGTTTAACAGCCGTGCCCCTGATTCAAGCCCAGCTCTAATTACAGTGGGAGCTCTTTCCTCTCTGCCTGGAGAGGCCTTTCTCGCTGCAGCTCACAGGGACGTGCTTCAGCCCTTCACTATTTTGGCCAGGTAACCTGGTGCAGGGATTATACACAGATGCCTACGGATGCTTAAAGAATCATTTGACTCCAGAACGAGCACACAGGCTGATCAGAAGAGGGACAAGCACCTTTCATTCCCCTTTATTCCTCTGCCAGTGAATTCCTACTTGCACAGAAACGAGGCACTCATTGTATGTGTCTTACTCATTTGATAACACTGCATGTTCCTGCTCCTGTCCTCCACCTAAAATATGGAACAGCATGTAACCACAAGGTCTCGCTGAGTATCTTTACAAACGTGGTTATGAAGAAAGTGGGAACCACTAGTGTAACAGACTCACACGGATGTGGGTGAAAAAAAGGAGATCAGGCAATTATCTTCTCTCCTATAAATGGCCATAGAATCACATAATGAATGAACAATCCAAGTTGTAAGGGACACTCCAAAGTCATTTGTTCCAACCACATGCTCAAAGGAGGGCTGAATTTGACGACAGACCCAGGCCACCATGCCATGAGTCATTCACTGCAGAAAATGACAGGGAACTCAATACCGGTGCATGTTGCACCATGACACAGAGCAAAATGCTCTCTGTAGTTCAAAAACTTAAAAAAATGTGAAAAGCACAGGGTAGATTTACTCCAGGAGGATGCAGAGATTACAGGAGCTCTAAGGCCCTCAGCAGTGCTGCTGGGAGGGGACACGCTTTACATCTCATGACAGCTTGGACACACTACATGGCTGCAGAGCCCTTCCAGCTCCCCATGGGTATTACTGATGTATCCAGCTCTGGTAGCTATTGCAAAATACATTTAGAGTCAAAAAAAAAAAAAAAAAAGCAGGACATTTTAAAGATAACTTATTTTCTCTTGTGTTGTTGGAGCGAAAAAATACTCTGTGCTTCCTCTTCTGTTTTGCACCCACTCAGGGGCCACTGTTATAAATGAAATGGCATAGTTTGTCAGTGCCACGGGAAGCAGGGGTGTGCTGGTTGCAGGCACTGGCATGCGGTGGGTCCACGACCCACCAGCAGACTGGCCGTGCCCTTTTGATTGCATCCTGGATGCAGCATGTCCAAATCAGTATTTTCATGCACAAGCCACAATTTTTTCCATGTACAGTTTAGCCACATGTCTTTGGTTTAGAAGCCCTTTAAGTATTTGATCATAGGATGTCAAGGACATTTGACTTAAGAAGTGGAGGAAACTAGAAACCACACAAATGCTATGAATAGAAGCTAGGGAAAGAGATGGCACATTTATGAACTCGGTCAAAGTGGATGCATATGTTACTTTATTTAGGCTCATATCAGAGAAAGAAACCCACACAATCTTTAGTTCTTTACTTATATTAAAGTACTAAACCCTCCCATTTCATGGCATATCTCTATTTTTATACTACTGAAATCATCAGCCATAAGTTTCCATATAAAATGCTTCCCAGCCCCAGAAAACCTTATACTGGCATGACTATGATATCAAGCCTATCTTCACTTTCCTAAATGATAATAATCAGATGAGGTATGATCAAGTATTAGTATTAGTATTAGTGCTACTCAAAAGTAACATCTGAGCTTTCATAAAAAGCTATGCTCCTAATACCTGAATGATGCGTATTTGTGCCTAGAATAATACAATGTCATTAAAGAAGGTTGGCCTTCAAAAATAATACTTGGAACCAGAGCAAACCATTCAAGTATATCAAACTTTTTCTCTAGTTGAGGTTGTTACAGTATAAACAGCATCAAGCGAGAGGCTGTGCTTTCTCTCTCCTGAAGTCCAGGAGTGAAAAACAAGGAGTGAAAATATTTGTATCTGTTGGTAGTGGGAAGAATAATATTATTTTATGCATAATGATGTATTCAGAGAGCATTGTAACACAAAGGAACACATATCAAGGTACTAAAGCAAAGTGTTATATCACCACAGGACTACATTCTGCAAATTTTTCATTCACACAATCATTACTGTGCTTGTAATCCACCAGGAGTTTGCCTTAATGATATATATATATTGTCTTTATTGAATGGTACTTACTGGCTGTTCACATGATTAAATGTAAGACGTAGTTTCACAATATATTGGCATCAGAAGCAAAGCCAGTTCATGAAGTTCCCAGCTACCACTCCCACTTCCTCCCAGCCACCGAGGCCCCCACATCCCTGTGGGCCACCCCTCAGCCATGCCTTTATGACTACTTGTAGGGTGACATGAGGACACGGGTCACCAAACTGATCTGAGTTAAAAATAACCCCACTGAAAATATAAGGGATTATTTTTAACTTGGAACATTTCAAAGATATGGTTTATGGTGTGATGCCATGGACCATTTTAGTGACACAGCTGGTGTGGTGGCAAGCTGAGAGAATGGGATGGAAGCAGGAGGGGAGAGGCCGGAAATCCTCAAGCCAGCATCACTGCCATGCACGGTGGAACGATGCCACAGAGCAAAGTTTGCAAAATCTGGCCTTCTCTGCAATTTCCTTTGGCATTCTTACTTGGGTGCTATTATTACTGAAGTTTGGGGTACTTACGCCATGATGCCCGAGAGGTGAAACATTTCAGCTGTTATGTATGACAAGTAACTGTACAGGAAGACAAAGAGTGGCTCAATCACTCGGATTTTATGGGTGAAACGGGTGGTAAAGGCTGCTACAAATCCCAAAAGGATTCCAATCAATACTCCACCGATCCCCACTATAAAGAAGTTAGCAATCCCAGCGAATATGTCAATAACTTTAATTGTGCGCATCTGGCAGAAAGACTTGAACAAATTGTACAGGACCTATGAGGAAAAAGAAAGCACATTATGTTTCTGAACTCTTCTTAATTTCCCCTCATGTCATTATGTTCCCCTGCTTCAATGTTGAACTCTGAATTTCCCTATCTACTTTGAACTCCTGTTTGAGATATGCTGTTGTTTACCACTGGCATATTACTTGTCATCCATAAGTATCAGGGAGATATACAAAGAAGGGTAAATAGCATTATTCCGATTTTTGCAAATGGGACAGCTTTCTTAACTCATGCCATTCTGCAGGCCAGGAGCATAGATCTACGTAACCTTTGTTTAAATTCATTTATTTGCAGAGCTTCTAGTTTCTCCAGAAACTAGTCATTTCAGATTTCTCCAGTCATTTCAGATTTTTCCCAGAATAAAATAAATTTAAAAAGGAGGAGGAAAAAATAGTTTCATAATCAGTGAAAAATCACGTTATTTTCAAATGTGTTTGATGTACATAAGACATCAAGAGCTGCAGTACTGAATTAGACCATAGATTCATCTGGCATGGGGGGTTGAGGGAAAAGACAGTGACCATCCCAAGGAGTAGAAGAAACATGGCATCCATGGAGTGCTCTTTCTCCGATTTATTAGCCATTAGGAATCCAATGGTTTAAAGACTTTTAAAACTTTAGGTTGTTTCTAGAGATTTGGATTTAATTCCCATTAAAAGACCTGTTAGCATGTGTTTGCCCAGTTTAATTTTCAAAGTGTTTATAACCATCCTCCCAAACAAACTTGGTCAATGGGATTATCATATTTTCTTACTCAGAGAGCCTTTTTCTTTTACACAGGAAATAGATATAAGTGTAAAGCCCACAGTTTTCTAATACCCAGTATTTCAGTTATTACAAATCAAAAAACAATAAAATCAGTTACTCTTATAGAAACCTTAAAGGGTCTCCCATTTACTTGGGAAATTTAAGCATTGCCTGGTACTGCATGTATGCTCCCAGCCATGTGATACCGCCATGGCTACTCGGTCCCCTTGTAGAGATCTAAGTTTGGTCACAGGCACCTACTCCCATCACAGTGGGTTCACAGGCTAAGCCACCTCGGTCACAATAAACACCTGCCTAGTCATCTTGGACAGCTTGCAGGAGTTAAACCTCTGCTTTCTTTCTGGACTTAGTAAACCAAACAGGTTTCTCTATCAGAAATGCTATTTGAGAACAATTTTTTTTTCAGTACTTGCATTGTGCCAACAATGTAGGTATTTGAACAGTAAGTGACTGGGAGGGATTTGTTGTGTTTGCAGTCTTGTTCTCTCTCACATGACAGAAAGTAACCTGTTCAGCTCTTCTCAGCCAAAATTTAATAGTTCTTACAGAGGTAAAAGTTCTCACTATAGACTGTTTTTTTGTTTTTGTTTTGGTTTGGTTTGGTTTGGTTTTGGTTTTGTTTGTTTGTTTGTTTTGTTTTTTGTGGTTGGACTCAATGATCTCTGAGGTCCCTTCCAACCACTACGATTCTGTGATTCTGTGATTCTGTAACGCAAAGACCTGGCCTATTATGGGTCCTTTGGGGTAAGTGAAAGGAAAAGACTGAAAAAGAAAAGAAAATAATATATTCCAGTGCAAGCATGAAAAAAGAAGGTTAAATCAAACTTAGCATGGTCCCCAGTGATTTTCATTACAAAGCAACAAGCAGGACAAGAGCAGGAGCATGAACTACCTATTTGATAACAATAAAAGAAGTGTCATTTTCACCTGGACAAACCCCTTCATCTTGCTGCTCTGAGGCAGACTCCCAGCCTTTTTGCCCTGCTCCCTGTTACTATGACCTGTGCAGGACGGGAAAGTAATGTTATAGGCTCCACTGGTTTTCTGCCTGTTCTGATTTGTGGACCTTATGGATTTGCATAAGGAGAAGTATACCAGAATTAAGCCTACTGACAATAGATGTGCCTTTGTTAGTCACTTTACAAGGGCCTCTCAGTCCACGGACTCCCAGGACTCCATGAGTCACAGCCTAAATTAAGAATACTATTGACTTGTGTTGTTTGAAAGGACAGGAGTTTCCCCATGCCACTTGTTGAAACTCAGGACTACCCCAGAGCCATGTTATTCTTCAAGACACCTACAGAATTTGACCTCGCAGAGTATTCCCTTGGTATGTATTAGGGAAGATGATTATTTTCTTTAATTGGAGCTTTAAATAGCCCTTTTTTCTATTTTAAAAAGTAACTATATAAATATATAAGGCAAGTCTCCAAAGTGAGGCCACTGAGAGTTGCTTGTAAAGAAGCATATAACTTTGATCTGCTCAAGCAATAGCTTTTCCATAACATCACCTCATCCTCACAGTGAAGTATTCACCCTGCAAACAGAGTGGAGTCTGTTGTTTCCATGAACAGACATCCCAATAAATCTCAAGTCCGTTGCCATAAATTACGTGAAAGAAGAAAAGCAACGTTCTCGTTTGTACCTGGGATCAAAACCAGACCGCAATGGTAAAAGCAGCAACTAGAACGACGGAATGTCGTGAACATGATTTTAATCTCTTTCCTATTGTTCCTTATTTACACTGCTGTAAATGAGATCAAAATCAGGTTTGCTTCCCTTTTACTCTACAGCAGCTCAGTTTTACAGCTGCCCCTAAGCTTTCAGGTGAGTTAAACAACATCAACTCTGGTCACATTTTGTAATGCATTTAGTATGAGAATGGGTTTTTTTTTCCAAGTTCAAAATTTGCATTTACTCAACATCCTTCAGCTGAACTTGCTAAAGGTTACACCAAGTCACCAATCACTTTTTAATTTTGTCTCACAGTGTCTGTGCTCTTCCTAGACACTAATTGCTTATTTTTATCAGTTCTCGGTTATTAGTTTTTAATTCTGAAATTACTTTAAAGCACACTAAAATAATGTTTTCAGTAGAGGTGGAATACAGAGCACTGCTGTAATGTTTTCTAACATGGGAATAATATTATTGTAACGACACTGGCTCCTCCTTTGTGATTTTAAGCCTAGAATTGGAATTTGAACTGCTAACACTCAACTTCAACCATGATCTTGCCGTTTAATATCACTGTGCTAGTTACCAGTGACCCAGTCTTTTGGTAAAGCACCAACACTGAACAAGAAGCCAACTGGGAAACATTGTCTTCAGCCAAGTTCAAGCTCAAAATTCCATCAGTGTAGGAAAAGGATCATTCAAATGCACAGGTAGGTGTGTTGCAAAAACTGCCCGGCATGAAAGACCACCTGAGAAACACAGCAGAGCTGAGATTCCCAAGAAAGCAAACCTCGCTTTGTATCTAAAATGAAGGTGTGATAGCACGTTTTCTGAACAGGGAAAGCATAGATGACACTGCTACCCTAGTTAAAGCTTCTATTAGGAGCAGCCAGGCAGTGCAAGGGGGATAGCAGGAAGAAGGGCTTAAAGTGTTTAGAAAGCATGTTTACTAAAGCCACACCATTCTGCACTGCCCACCTGTAGCCCCTGATTTTTTTGATACTGCAGTGGCCATAGGAATTAGGCAACTTCTGCATATGGCCAGCCTGCCTCCAGCTCCCTGCCTGCTTCATCCCCCCATCCCACTGGAGGCACCTGCCAGGATAGGTGGGACTTGAGGGCTCCAGCAGACCAAAGCTGGAGGGTGCTGCTCTCCTGGTGACACAACAAGGACAGAGGAAGAGACAGAATTTACAAAACATCATCTCCTTTGAGTGGGCAGCTGCATAACCCCCCAGCACCACAGCGAGGACTGGTCCAGCAGCATCAGTTTGGACAGAAGAGGTGAGGTCCTCTAAGGACACCCCACGGGGAATCTGTGTGGCAGCCTGGGTCATGTTTTAAGCATAATCACATGACTGCAGGTGTGCAAAATCATAACAAGGAACCATTAGCAGACCAACGCTTAGCATGTGGAAACCACTTGATCTCCTGCCAAGTGCTACCTTTAAGCGATAGCTGGGAAGTAAGACTGAAGGTACTCTAAATTCCTTTCACTCCTTCATGAATATATGTATGGCCAGTTCCTACCCTGGGCTGGCCCTACAGACTCCTCAGAGTATCTCCCCTACATTAAGGCACCTGGGCAGGCATACCGTGAGAAAGGATTACCTCCAAAGAAGGGAATAATGATGCCTACAGGAAAGCCAAGCATCACGGTTATTAAATTGCTATGCCAGTGCCTATAATAATGGTGTTTTGGACTAATTTGCCATTGGGCAGTGGCATGCATGAATACTTCCGTCATCAGGATGCAGTGTTTTCCTAGCAAATCACTCTGGATTAACTGCAGCTCCAGTGGAAAGGTGATTGATTTTTTGATTGAAAAAAGTGATTTTGGCTGGAAAAATCCACAAAAAAAACAAAACAAAAAGTGATTTTGGCTGGAAAAATCCACAACCCCCCCCAAAAAAGTTTAGCATTAGCATAAAGCCAGACCTTTTTCCCCCAGAAAAACTTGTGTGAAAAGAATTCTACTGCATGAGTGACCATTAAGAGTAAACAGAGACAGACACAGCCATGGCTGGACTACTAAGCCTTTTGAAACTCAGTATGTACACCCACTTATTTTCAGGAGCATCTTAAGTACCAGTTTAGTAATGGCAGGCAGTTTCAGCTGTAAGCTAATGAGGAAAGCTAGGATTTAAGGCGAGCTCGTAAGACAGGATGCGATTCAGCTGGCGGATAGCAACAGAATCGGGTAAGGCATGGAGTGCAAATATAAAAAAAAATAATCTTTACCCTCATGGACTCACATGAAATGACTAGTACCAAATGAACAGATTAAATTATGAGATATACAAGTGTTAAGCAGGTGAGGCAAAGTCCTAGAAAAGGTGAAACCCAAAGAACTTCAGTCCAATAGAATTGGACTGAAATAAGAAGCCAGGGACAGAGACAGGGAAGGTGTGGAGCCAATTCATGAATCTCTCTGATTCTTCTGGCATATGAAAAACTGGACCTCCCATGTCTCACAAATCCGAAAGTGTGCCAGGACATAGTTGGCACAGGCAGGATTTCAAGTAAGGCATGGATAAGTGGGAGTAATGTCCCAGACGTGGTGTCATCAGGTACGAATGAAGGGCATGGGGGGTGTTAATGGAATTTGCAGATTGCTGTCCTCAGGTCAGCTCCACAAACCCAGTTCAGCTAGTTAATGATTAGAAATTACTGCCTCCAGATGGTTGTCCTATCTCATCTGTAGCCTGGGAGAAATGTATTGGTGGTCTCGGGGCATTTCCAACTGGATGAGCACATGCACAAGGCTAGCATCAACCAGGTCCTGTGCCATCTCAACGACTTGCCCATTCAACCTGTGAACATGCTGAAACATGCCCACATTGGCCCTTTTTCCTCTCCTGTCCAGCAACATTTCTGCAGGTGAGGAAAACCTCCAGTTTCAGATTACAGAAGTAACAGAATTCAAAGATACAGAAACTAAAGAGATCAGGTAGTAAAATCCCTAGAGCAAATATGCTACCCATTACTCTGGTGTAGTAAGACTACTGTAGTTTCTAAATCTAAAGTTTAGAGAATTACATAAATACATTAGCACTCCTTGACTTCCAGCCATTAGCAAATTGAAATAACCAGATAATTTATCTCTCTGTATAGATATAACGGAATGGCATGCAATCAATCATTTGTCGTTTTTAACAACTAATCATTTGTCAAGTAACTTACCACAGTTATAGCATCATTCAGCAAAGACTCTCCAAACACCAGGATGTAAAGCTGCTCATTGACATGAATATTTTCAAAAACAGCTAACACCGCCACTGGATCCACAGCTGAAATGAGGCTGCCAAAGAGCAAATTCTGCAGCAATGTGATATCAGTCAAACCAAATGCACTGATTTGGCAAATTCCATAAAGTGAAATTCCAATGCCGATGGCATTCCAGAGTGTGCCCACTACGGCATACCAGAATATGGTACCAAAGTTCTCAAAGAAAAGACGAGTTGGCATAAAATATCCAGCGTCGAGTACAATGGGTGGTAAAAGATACAGGAAAAAAACATCACTGTTCATTACAGGTGGAGACTTCTCATCAGCTCCAAAAATAATCCCACCAAGAAGCAATCCAACCAGAATGAGGAGACAGCTTTCAGGTACTATTGAGGGCAACTTGTGATAGAGATGAAAGCCTTCAAAGAAAATTCAAACACAAGAAAGTAAAATGGTTATTTGTACAGAATCCAAGAGATTATTCTGGATTCTGTTATCTTAGTTTCTATAGCAAACAAACAGCAATTGCAGGGCAATTTCATTTTCACTGGAAAGACTGGACTGGACCATCACAACAGGTCAAGGCAAATTTTTTGGAAACTTCAGATGAGTTGCTGGAGAGTCAATAGGACCATCACAACAGGTCAAGGCAAATTTTTCGGATAGAGTAGTTACTTCAGATGAGTTGCTGGAGAGTCAATTTAATAGCTAGACATTCTAGTTAAGAGCTAGGTTGGCTGGAGCAACTGTATGCAAGGGTTCTGTTTGTGAAAGTGCAGGGATTTTTGCCATGGGGAATCCTCCAGAAACACAATCCAAACACTTTTCTAGGGCAAATTACACCTAGGTAGAGAAAAAAACCTAACATTCTAAGCACTTCTTCCTCCATGCACAGTTTCCCAAAGGAGTTCAAGGAGTACATTCATTTCATTTTTAGAAGTCTTTTAGAGTCTCAGAGCTAGGGAGGGGAACTAGCACATGTGACCTGCACCCAGTCACCCATGCTCACTTCCTCAGACACCATGAGGAAGCATTTACAGACCTACTATTAATTTTAGCACAGCCTCCAAACTAATTTCACAATAACCAACATGTTTTCCATAAAGTGACAATACGTTGTAGCCTATATTATTATGCTCTTTCTTCTGTATTATATGAATTGCAGTAGTGTCAGGAGTCTCTCCTAAAGATCTGTGCAAAGTACTGAAAAATTAATAAAAAAAGGTTTTGAATGAGAACTTAATGGTTGAATGTTCCTTACCCTACTAAAGCTCTCCATGGCATGCAGTTTTGATTAAAGATTCATATTAATTGCGTAAATTTACTGTTTTAAGGATGATCTTGGTACCAAATGGGAAATTTTGAAGGAACTTACTCTGGCCAATCTAATGGAATGATCAGCCTCATGCACCAAGGTCACATTCCAGGTCCTGGCGATGCCAATCTTTTCCAGGCTCCTCCTTATCTATATTTGGCCTACATAATTATATAGAAAACTATCCACACCCACAAGATCCCACAATTCCCGCCTAACTAAAAAGCATTTAAATTATTTTAAATGAGAGCTGCACAGAAACACTGGGTGTGGTAATAACGGGCGTCTATTTCAGTAAAACTATTTCAGTAAAAATCACACCTGTAGTCGAAACAGTTAAACTAGTGCAAGCTTGGTATAGTTCACATCCAGTTTCCTGACTTCAGGCTTCTGTATCTTGCAACACCTATTTTGTTAATTCTCCTTTCATTATAGATTTTTTCCAGGTAAAAGAAACTCTGAACTTATAATTAGGAAAAAGAAACAGTTAAAGACCAAGGGGAAAGCTGCTTTAAACTACAGACTTTTTACTTACAAATTATATAACTATTAAAGATATTTTTCAAAGCAAGCAGCTCAAGCTGCATTTTGTTTTTCTATTCTGGACAAACACAGATTGCTTTTTAATACTTAGAAACACAGCCTATGTGACTCATTGGAAGGACTGCCAAATTCACTGTCATTCTTCAAAACCAGAGTCATCAATATCCTATATTGGCAGAACAGGTAATGACCCTGGAAACACAAGAATTTGCGGTTGGAGACTTGACCTTTCAGCCACTTACACATAAACATTTTATGGTTTGCCTTAGTTTCTGCGGTGGCAGGATGCCAGAATTTCCAATGTAGTGATTGAAGTTTCCCCTGAGTAAGTAGATTTTGCTAAAAGAAAAGGGTTTTTTAAGCCCTTCAAAAGTATTTTAAATCATTTCCTCAATAAAAATTGAAGAGGAGGGAATTTTTGTAAATGCAGCTTTTAATGAAAACAAAAACCATCCCAATCAGTTGTAATGCAATGGCAATGAAAAGTCTATTGTGAATATAAAAATAAAAATCCTTTTCTTTTCTTCTCTTCTTTATAAGTCACTTTTTGGAAAGTTCATGCCCTCTCGGAGCTTTTGGAACTTCACCTCATCCTTAAAGGTAACAGAAAGGTTGCACAAAGTTAAATGGGCTTTTTATCCACATAAACAGCATCAAAACTCTTAAAAGACTGCCTGCCTCAATGAGAGGCATTCAAAGGTGATCAGGGACAGGCTGTGGTTCCCCGTTTAAAGGCAGAGAGCCAGGATTTAGAGTCCAGTGCACATCAAGTCAGGAGCAGGTGCCTTGCAAGATGAGGAACATCTTCCCTGCTCTGACGGACCCACAGCCACATGGTCAGGAGCACCCTGGGAGCAGACCCCCTGCAGTACGTGAATAATTAGGCTTTTACACTCAACCCAGGACCACAGCAACTTTCTCCGCCTCTGACCCTGTTCTTGAGCTCCTGACTATGCAGTGACCCAACTTCAAGAGGATGGAAGATGTTTACCCTCAAGCCATTGGGCACTAGGACACTTGCCAAAAGTGCAAGGTCAGTATTCTTCAAGCTAAAAGTCCCTAGATTTCTGGTTTCCTACTTCTTGGGTGAAATCCAGTACACTCTGATGCTGGAAAGGCCAATGAGATGTGTACTTCTGATTATAGGTGAGTTTTCCAAGGGCCCTCTGAACAGCTTAAACCTTTTTTCAGGAGAGAAGTGTTGGAAGTGTATCAGCTCAGTTCCCAGAAGAAGCACTTCTAATCATGCATTTGTGATTAAACATAGGAGTAATGGGAATCTGGATCAGTTAGACAACATTTTGTAGGTTTAGTAGCATAAGAACTAAGGAAAACTGGGAGGTAAGTGGACTAGTCTCTCTACCTAGAGGCTGCACCATATTTCAGATGCACTGGGTCCCACCTAATCAACTCATGGAGTCCATCAACATGTTAGTAACATACCTCCTATATGGTATCAACACAAAAGATAATAAATAAGTAGAGGTAGTCAGAAAATAACTACTCCATTCAAGGCAATTTCTTAGATTTCAAAATGTGCCCTTGTTCTACTCTGGAATAAAAAACCACTCTCTCTAAACCTAGCCTACAATGACATGAACACAGCCAGGATCTGAGAAACCTTTCAGATAAATCCCCTATAAAAGTTAGCAAATGCTGCCAGCCCGGCGGTAAGCAGGTGCTGCCATACAGTTGTCTTTGGGATCCTTCCACGCACGGTGAGAGCTGTTCTTAAATGCGACCCTATCTTCTGAGCTCCTTGCAGCTGACAAGACCTTAGGGCTCCGGTCAGAAAGGTTTGCTGCTCAGCAGTGCCAAGCGCGAGCGTTCGGGCACCTAGCCCCAGAAAGGAATTTGCGATGCCAGATTAAGCACCCAAGTTTCCTGGGCAGTGCACGAGTCTCGAGGTGGATTTCACAGGGGGGAGATGCCTGTGCTGCCCAGCAGGAAATGCCACGGAGAGGAATGCACCGGAGAGCATCCTCTCTCACCAGGCTGCTCTCGGGGCTACAGGCAGAGAGATGGGCTGGAAACCCCCTCTCCATCCCTTTCAACTGGGACACTTGGCCCACTCCTAGTAACACAGTAGGACGTGGCAGAGCTGACATGTCTGTGTCTCCATGGGTAAAGAGAGATGACATTCCTGTATCTCAGTGATGAGAGAACTCTGCCCACCTGGGCTACCTTCAGTCTAAAAGAAGGCACAAGTGAGTGAAAAATCGCCGCTGTGGGAGTGTGACTTCGGAGCGACGGCAGCCTGTCCCGGGAAGGTTTACCTGATGCACTCGCTGGATAAGGAAGCACAGACGGAGCTCCAGGAGCAAGAACTGGATGTTCCTAATTCCAGTCCGGGAGTCAGGGCGCCTGTAGCTAGGTGTGGTGAGGCTGAGCTCTGCCACACCTAGGGCCTCTCCTGGATCCAGCCCTCATTGCTTAGCGCGCACGCACATATCACAGCAGAGGCAATGCCCTAGATTAGCCACACCAGCTAATTCTGGTGGGTATAACTGAAGGGATTTAAAAATTATACGCATTTTTCCTCATCTGCCCTGTTTGCTTGTTCACTCTACTGCAGTACCTTGGAAAATTAAAGTACTCAAGTCACTTTTTTTTTTTTTTCCTACTTTTTAGATGCCTATGCACTAGCAAAATACCATGATAGTCAGAATGCACAGCCCTACAGAAACTATGTATTATTGTGTATGTATGTGTGTTTACATGTTTCAAATGGCTTTCCTGTAATCTTTAACAAACCAGAAACTTTTTCACTAGTCTTAGCTCATTCAAGAGTTCCTGCCATACCTAAACTCAGAAGCCAGAGCGATTTTACAATACTCGACTGGCTGAGGTAAGTTCTTTAACAAACTCCGCATTTTCTGGCTATTACAACTCATGATGCATTTGAGTGTATCACAGGTGAACTCTGTCCTGATTCTGCAAACACCTAAATACATACTGGAGATTAAGCATGCATCTTTAATGCATTGAGAACCATGCATCAAGATATCTGCATCCTTAATGGATGCAACATACAGTATTTCCCCAGGAAGTCATGGAGCCATAGCAAGTTGCTTGGGTAGAGGATCAGGCCCCCAACTCCAACACTAGTTGCAGCAGGAGGTGAGTACAAATTTTTTGGTTTTGTAGAATCCTAATTACCTGATCACTAACCAGAATGTAACACGCTCTATTTAAAAGTCCCAAGCAGAAGTCAAAGTTTTATCAAAATGTTTTATCAAAAGGAGCACAATCATAGTTTTTATTGAAATCTGAGCCACCAAATCAAGACTGCTGAATCAAACAAATGGAGTATGAGTAAACGAGTAAACCTTTTTTTGTTGTTGTTCCCATGGCTCTATTCCTTGCATTATCCTCTAGTTAAGAGGACACAAAGTTTATCATTTGCAGAGATTTACTGATTTTCAAATAGCTCTCTAGCACACCTTTACCTGACATTCTTTAGATTATTTTAGTGTGCTCATCTTTCTGCTTGGGACAGAGAAAGCTAATTAAAAATATATTATATATAAACTACACAAAACACACTGAAACTATGCAATACAAATATTTTCCACATGAGGGAAGAGGTGGCCTTTCTTACTCATTCAGTGCCGTCTTTTCTGTCTTTCTCAGGACATAAGTGAATGGTGGGAAAGTACAATGAGGAGGCTCACTCTGCCCTCATAAATATTTGCTTTCCATCGATCCGTTGTTGTGTTCTGAAACTGTCATTATACCCGGCATTATTTTAAGAAAAAGAAGATAGTGCTCAAACGACAGTAGCAAGGAAAAGTCAGTGAACTGGGTGAACTCGGGGTTTTACAGCCCCCGTAGCCCGGGCTTTACGCCCTGCTGCGGGAAGGGGATACGGACCTCCCGCGGGAGGTGATCTCTCTTCTCCCCCGCACCCTTCCTCACAGAGAAAACCCAATCTTTTGCCACACAAATCACGCCCGGGCACCCCGCCCCGCCAAGGAGCATCACCCTCCAGCGGTCCCCGCGGCCCCCAGTCGGTCCCAGCCCGGCTGTCCCCGGCGGGCGGGCGGCCCGGGAGGGGGGGACAGAGAGAGGGAGGGAGGGTCGCCCCGACGGCCCCGCTCACCGATCTTGGCGAGGGAGGCCAGCAGGATCCAGAGGGTGATCTCGAAGGGGATTTGCACGTGGGGGTAGTCCAGGGTGAAGACGTGGAGCCGCGTCTCCTCGAAGGCGGTGCCGCTGGGGCTCGGCGGGGTGCCGGTGCCCATCGCCGCGGCGCCGGGCAGCTGGCTCTCCGAGGTGGCCCGCGCCTCCGCCGCCCCGGCCGCCAGCACCGCCAGCACCGGCACCAGCAGAGG